GGTCCGGGGTTCGATCCCCGGCCGACGCACTCCTTTACCTCACTAAGCCAGAAAGAATGCAGGTGAAGAGGAAAGGTTGGGCATGAGGCCAGCAACCTCCATCCTGTAAAATAAACACTGCTACAGAAACTTCAAGCCTCTAGCTTGAAGCCTTATGTTCCACTGGGGAACGTGAAGGAAAAAAAGGGCTCTAAATAAACAGTACATATGGTCATATCCAGGGAGAACATACAGTGATACGGTTGGCGAATTCATGGCATGTCTTGACCTTAGGTCCTTCTTATCTCCAGCCCATTTTATCTTACGTCCGTACGAAGTACAACGATGATTTTGAAAGTCTCTAACATAAATCATCCAGTTAGTTGGATGGACATTAACAGTCTCGCTAAACTGCCTTTTTTTTATCCCCTACTCCAACTGAGCACTAAAAATAACCGATTGGTTAGTGATGTTTATGGTTTAATATTTGTAACTACTCTGTATTTTCTTTCTGTTGCAGGACTTTCTTAAATTCACTGTATCATTGTAGACCATGGTATACAGAGAAGCATACGAAAACTGTTGAAACAAGAAAGGCGCACAGAATACAGTGTCACTGTTTGAATATGTGGTGACTTCTACTGTGCTACATTCCGAAATAAAACTAATCTTGTGTACTTTTTCTAAACCAGATTGATGAAGCATCATCATGAGGAGTGGAATCACTCACAACACTTACACCAATATACTATTAATATTACACCATTCTCGTTGGCGGCGGCACAGTGGTTAGGACTCTCGCCGACCATGCACATGGTCCGGGGTTCGATCGCCTGCCGACGCACATCTGATACCTATGGTCGGCCTGCAAAATTTGGGCCACCGATATCACATGCTGAAAGTTCCATACCTGTACCAAAAATACGGTGTGGAATCAAGCTGTAATCAAAAAAAACTTTCGTAGCTATAGTGACACCATCAGATTTTAGGAATGTTTGTACGACTAACCCAACTAAGTGCTCAACTTCCTTCCATTTATCACCTATTTAAACACCAATATGTTCAAGTTTCATAGAGGCATATGTGATGCTTCTTCTCAGTGTTATAAGGAAGGCTTAAACACATTTTCAAACTAATGGCCTGTTGGTAATTAGGAGAAGACATTTACTCAAGTTAAATTCGTTCTAGACATCTTTTACTCAGCAGAAGAAAGTTGTATCACCTTCATTTGGACTACTAAATGGAATGGGGAGGGGAATTCACCTATCCTTACGGATGTGATCATGCAGTCTAGTAGTTCACATTGATCGGTTAATATGCATATTTCGATAAAGAATCACTTTGGTCACTACAAAAATCAACTGTGCGACTGAATTTCAGATTAATACTTTGCAAATGGAAGCTAAATTTTATCTCATTTCAAAGCAACATTACAGTTTGTTTCGTATAATACTGTACATAAATTCATATCGTGACAAATTCTCATCCCTATTTTTCTTTACGTCATTTTGTCTAACAAATAAACGGCCAACAAACGAAAGTGAATTATCAAGCTGTTATATTATACTTTATGTAAACCACAAGTGAACAGTTTTAACATTTTCAAATATGGTAAGTGCTAACAAAAGTTGGTGTGTGAGTACATATGTGCATATGCAAGTGCAGACGCTACGAATTATGTAAATGCTATTTAAATTGAGGATATATCTCGGTAGTTTTGTGAAAAGTCAGTATTTGAAAAAAGCATATACATACGTATATATATATATACATATAAATGTCAAAAGACTTTAAAAAAAATATGGAACGATGCTTTTTGAACAAAAAGAAGTCAGCATGTAAAATTTCTCTTTTATCCTAACAAATGTAGAAAGGGGAAATTTTCAATTTAAACTTCACTATGAACGAAAGCTATTTTACTTTTGTGCACTTATAAGTAAGGCCAAAATGCATCATGCCAATAGCGTTTTCTGTGTCAGTGTGCAAAAATCAATCGAGTAAAATACAACTTCGCTTGTTCTTACATTGACCCTTAATAATATAAACCGTATAATGTTCTTAAGATGGGAAAGCCATATATATATATATATACATATATGAATCTACTAGATTATATCAGCCTCTCTGAAGCGATTCTGTAACTATCAGTTATTCCTTAATTCCGAGAAATTTCAAGAATATTCCCAGAAACCTCTGCCTTAGAGGAAGTAAATATTCTCAGAGTGCAATTACCAAACATATTGTTGATACTAATCATCTCGTAGAGATTTCTAAGTCCTTCAAAATATTAAATAGACAAAGGGCAGCAAATTTGCTACGATTTACCGAAGCGATCGCAATCAAACGATTCAAACCAGACTTATGCATACAGAAAGAGAGTGCGATTAATCTTTCACTCCCTTGGTAATTGAATTTTGATTTTGATTACATTAATTAGTCATCTGATTCAGTGATCTCAACTCACTGAACAAATCTTAATCTCATAAACTGTAACCACTTTTGCTTTTTGAGTTGCTAAGTGAATCTACAAGCTTACACTGTTGTCAATGTTTGCTGTTTCCTGTGTTACCCCTCCCACCTCTCTCCTACTTTGAAAGCGTATAAATTGATGGTGAAAACTTAAACTAAAAATTGTAATGCTTACATTTTGGATGCGTCAATTCTTCTCTACTACCACTTAAACATTAAAGAATGTTATTATTATCTATATAACCAGGTAGTCTACAGCTGATGAGAACCTATGAAATAGAATGATATCATTTACTACTGCAAATTTCGTCTTCCTTTCTTCATCAAAATTCCTTAATTCATTGAGAATATTGATGTGACATCGCTAAAATTCGTTTCTCCTTTGGCTGATTTCCTCCTTCTATTGAATTATTCATTTTTCTTTCTTGTAAGAATGTTGATTTACATAATTTGCTTGCATAACATGTTTGCAAGAACACTTGTCTGTGTGTGTACTTGTACATATGTGTGTGTGATATAGGGGGAGAAGGGGAAACATTTGATTGCATAAGAATGAGTATAGGCTACACAAAATTATATTTAAAGATTCTACTCATGATAAATGATTTGCATAATAATTATGAAAGATTGTCGACCTCTAGAAATAAATCGTCTGAAGATATTTCTAACAAATATTAACCGAATTAAAAGAAGCAACCCAAAGAATGTCTTTTCATATACAACATAACAGTGTTATTAAATGAATAACGTTTCTAAGCACAATCACATTTCTACCTTACTAGATGTTTGGTTAATCCATCATAAGAGGACTCACTGATGAACCTCTATCTTTACCTGGTTGAATCTCAACACTTTTATCATGTCCTACCTCCTATAAGCATATGTATGCAAAGTAGTAGCTGACTTTTCTTTTGATAACTTATATTAGTGGGGCCTATCCTTGCAGGTCTAGGTCACTCAAAAGAAACATTATCACTCAATTGACATGATAAGGTGAAATGTTTAACTTGTTACTATTCCCTTGCGTTCCTAGTGAAATACACGACTCAAAAAGCACATCTCCATTCACTCAGTTCTCTGTGTTTTTTAGCTAACTTCATAACTACCTTACATTTCTTCCTGAAAAGATCTCCCCAAATTCACCCTCGGATATTCAACATGTAGTTTCCCGTTTCGGATTCTACTCAGTGACCTGACGAATGATGTCATTTTTAACGCCCTCCTCAGCTTACACCCAGTCCATCTCCATTTCCTGCATATTTGTGGAGCAGTAGGTTCTTTGTTGGTTTACTGCACATTCAGAGCTCTTTTTTGCCCATCCTTTACGACTGGCTATCTGATCTTTACTATCGAGCGCAGGCAGTACGCAGATATGCACAAAGCGACAGGGGTTTCACCAAATGGGTACACTAAATTTTTAACTTCCCAAATACTATATGGTGAGGTTAAAAACATAGGTCGAACCAGCCGATCGAATACAGGTTATCAGAATAAAAGAATCTAGGTTGCCCTACAGTGGCGGAAGCTGTTAGGACATACCATCTAGGTAAAAATGCGCTATTGCTGTGTACAAACTTGCATAAAATCTCAATAGGGTGAGAAGATACATCAAAAAATGAAATAGTTACGTCCAGAGAATGGTTAGTCACCAAATCTTTGTTAATGATATCAGTGCCAAACATGTGCAATAAGATCAACTAACACCAGAATATGTGGAAACATGATAAAGTAAAAACAGAAGAACACAAAGCGTGCTGGGAAGTCATTTGACGACATTAATATCATTATAAACAATAGACTTTATTGGAAAAATCATCCAGTTGACAATACTGTATCACTGTGTATTATTGTTTAGCAAAGTTATTTAATACACTGTACTCTACCACAGTACCAAAGGGATACTTCACTTATTCTCACAACGCTGAAGATATATTAGATATTAGATATATTAGCTATGTGAGACGTTGGCCATAAACACGAATAATGTCATGGAGAGTCAGTCTAATTATAATGATAATAATAAAACTCAAACGTTCAGTCTTCATACTCAGCAATGTTATACACTTTACATGAGGAGGAGACAGTCATGTTTCGCAGTGTAGAAAATTTCTGAATAAATAATACCAACGGTTTCCCGTAGGTTTTACGGCTAAGAGGTAGTAAAATCTTTCTAGTTTACTATCCAAATGAAATATGAATATGTAAATCTCGTAGGAAAAAAAAGGCCGAGGTGAACGAGTGGATATAGTTTATATGCTTGTCTGTCACACATTTCACTTTGAATAAATACTTTTTTTTTATTATTTCCTTATTTTCAGAAGTGACAGTAGATTCAAAGAAGCGTGAATAATTCCACTTAGATTATCTGCAAAATAAGTTGGTGTTTGATTACGCATTCACTGTTACTTTAGAATTAAGTGTGAAACAGCCAGTGAAACAGTTATCAAGTAGTCTCTATTTAAATTCATGTCTATGTATGGAATGATGACAAGCAAAGTACACTGTGTAAAAGTGAAAACAAAGCAACATTATGTGTGAAATAACAGACTTACTATTTTAGTTGTTTTCTTATCATCTATTTGCGATTTTTCTCGTGACTTCTTTGACTGTTTTGTAAGTTTTTCTTTGCCTTCCTTTTTATCATCAACAGAGTCACGCGAAACAGTAGATTTACTTTGATCAGTTGGCAGTACGGCAGATTTTGAAGTGACTTTCTTTTTTGTTGAAGTAACTCTAGGCTCCGATTTACCACTGCCTGATGGTTTTAAAACTTTAGTAAATATATGCGGATAATTTGTAGCCAAAAATTCCGAACCATATATTATCGGTTGTGTTTGATTACTTGAAGGTTTTGAGGTGGCGTGTTTGCCAGCTAGTGAAGCACAAGCAGGATGATGGTGATGATACTGTTGTGGCTTTTGTTCACTCTGCTGATAATACCAGTATGGTGGTGGTATTGGATGTTGTAATTGCTCTTGTGTTTGACGTTTATGCACTGAGTGAGAGTCAAAATTAAATAACAGTAATTAGGTGTGAAACATAATAGCTGTACAGTCTCAGATCAAACTACTAAGAAAATTACTTCGCTATTTTATGTAGGATACAGTGATTCAATGTTAATAAAACATTTTTTGAGCAAAGGATAGTGCTCATAATCTTCTCAGTAGCACAACTGTTACCATGAATTTCGTGCAATTCTCAGTAATGAGTTCTGATCAAAACGTCGTTCGGTTAGCAATACTGGGTTCGAATCCCAATGGGTGCGTACTGTGAAGAGTCCCAAACTAGGACGAAACAGCTGTCCAGTACTCCCAGGTTTTCCAGTGGTTCTCTAACTAATGTCAGCTCATGATGAAAATCCGGTAACAAATACTGTATCACTTTGCATTACATGAAATAAACTTACCTAGAACAGAGTAATATTCTGTCATTTTCCTGAAGTTTCACTCTTATATTAAAAATGCGTTTATAATTTCAACTTATCAGACTAAACCTATTTTCAAAACAGTTGTAAGTTAAATTAACAATCAAAAATAATGAAATTACAATTATTATTTAGTGTTCGGTGGCTGGCGGTGGAATCGAGAAAACATGTTCCCTCCTATATAGGACTCATCATCTGGATGCACCTGCGTTACCCAGTGAGTGACGGTGTTCCCACCGAGACTCCATCCCAGAATTCATCGCTTCAGATGTCAAGTGTTACCCACTAGACCACGTGGACCACTTGATTTTGACAGAAAATTACTGTTAGCTGCAAAATTCTACGACCGATCCATTTGGAAGTCTTAATGTAATCTGAATAATATCGATATCAAAGTTATTCACAACAGAGAGGTAAATATATCTGAATAACTAGAATTAGTTGCTTAATAAATTCAGATGGTCCGTCATATAATCAGAATTCCTTTTTGTAGGATGATTTAGGTTTTAAGTGTTTACGATACAGACCAAAAGAAATTTGTTGACAGTTTAAAATTTAGAAAACAAAAGGAATGAGACATGAAATGTTTACTTGCCGATTAGATCCTCATCTATGACTCCAGTCTGTTATATATATATATATATATATATATAATTTTTAATTTTTTTTTCCTTCGCGTTCCCAGTGGAACATAGGGCTTCAAGCTAAAGGCTTGGAGTTTCTGTAGCAGTGTTTATTTTTACAGGATGGGGTTGCTAGCCTCATGCCCAACCTTTCCTCTTTACCAGCTTTTATAACTGGCTCAACGAGGTAAAGGAGTGCGTCGGTCGGGGATCGAACCCCGGATCATGCGCGTGGTCGGTGAGCGTCCTGACCACTGTGCCACTGACGCACTATAATTTTTAATACAATACGGAAATTTGCCAGTTGAGCGATGGGAAATTTATCAGCAGTAATTAGTCAATCTCGAGACGTCAGCATCATCGGGTTTCTGAACATCATTCCGCAAGATTAGGTGAGGGACAAGAAAGGTTTATTTGTAGTTGTGTTTTAGCAAACCTAGTAGATAGTTAGCAATATTAGTTTTTCTCTACGAGGTTGTCTATTACATACAGCTGAAGAAATCAGTATCGACCTGAAGAAGACAAACCTGTGTGCCATAGATGAGGATCAAAATGAAAAGGGAATTATCAAGCGTAAGTTTGTAGGGATTTGATTTGTTTCAAGTTTGATCATGTAATGTTATCAGTTGTAGAACCGCTGAAAACCGGGGAGTACTGGAAATCCGTTTTGTTCTATTTCGGGACTCTTCATAAGTACACGGAGATTGTAATCAGTGGAGTCCACCAGATCAAGTGTGAGGACGAATACTCACCGATGATACTGGCTGGAGATGGTGCTAAAGGGTGCGAATAGATAGAAGTTAGAATTTATGAGCCACTGGATTTCGTCCCACAGGCTGAATGGTTGACGCGACCTCTTCGTATCCTGGAAGTTCTGGGTCCGATAGCAGGTGGGGTCGTGGATGAACACTGAGGAAGATTACCAAACTAGGTTGGGATTCTCGGTATAGTTTAAAATTCATCATGATTAATGAAACTATTCATTCGATAATTTCTGACTACTTCTTATGTTATTGGAAAATGAGTGCGGTAAACACGCTTAAAAGTATTTGGACTGAGATTTAAACGCACCCCTTAGTGTTCAACACTCGAAAAGTACATACAGCATGCCATACTGTTTAACTTAAAATAAATGATAATAAAAAATATTCAAGTCATCCCCAATGCTAATTATTGAGAGAAAAAAGTAGTCCCAAGCGTATCTGCGTTTGTTCTAATCTGACAAATACTGCAATTTTCTACTGAAATTGAAACTTTCTCAAGTAGTTTACACTAAATCGGTATTTCATTTTGTAGCTATTCAATATTGTCTTGTATGTGCACTAAATCATACGAATAAGTAACATGTCAATAAGGTGAATAGCATTACTATACCATAAATAAAATAGTCATTAATGTATACAGTTGATAAAGTGCAGCACATAAACCAGTATCGCTTTCTCATTCACTAACTATTTGTAGTTCATAAAAGGTGAATTTAAATACACACTGGTTAGTCACTAGGGTGTAACCAATATCATACCTTTTGGGCATGCCTTTACTACTGACTGCTCCTGTGCGGCTGGGTGAAATATTGATAATAATAATAGCCATAAAAGGCTTTCCTACAACGCTTAACCAGTCTCCTTTTGTCTAATAGTTAAACAGTTTTCATTATTGTCTGTTGTTACATAGTAAGAAAGAAATAGTCCCTTTTTAAATAAACTTTTTATCCCTTTTTTCAGTTTGTTTTCAAAATTTCAAAGTAAATTAATCAGTCGGTACTTCAAGGGAAGTAAAAAGAAAGTTTCTGATAAATAATGAAACAAAAAGAGACAGGCAGAAAGACGTATAGGACTGAGAAAACATCTCATGGGCTTACATACATACACATACATACATAAAATATGCATACTTATGAAGGCATTTGTAATACATTACAGCAATGTTCATACAAATGCAGCAGTAAAGTGCACTTCTGATCTACTATATTTCTTCTATGCGAGGGTTGGTTGAGTGATTTATGTTATGTTTGTGGGCAGTGAAATAGTTTAGCCACAAATTTATCAATTTCAATTGTAATGCTTATCACTGTTGATGATTACGCTATAAAATGCTCACTGATTGCACCACAGTTTCATTCATATGATGTAGATGCAGTCGAACTGCTAAAAGTAATGCTGTCACTTAACAATGTGGATTCAACCTGCTGCACCCTACTGCTGACGGCTTCTCACTAGAACCCCAAGTTGACTGCCCAAAATAGAGCCAGTTGCTAGTGAGCATCAGATTAATTTTCAAGTATTGGTTACGTAGGGAATTTTGTTTGATTGGTTGGAGGATTTTATCATGAGCTAAATAAAGGTAAGGCAGCAACTCATCGAAGAAGACATTGCGAAGTGGTCACGGTATGTCATGAATTGGCAGAAGTAAAAATTCATGGCCTGGCCATTGGATTGGGTCCCAGTGAGTGGCTTAATAGTCTACAAGCTCTCCTTGTAACCACAAAGTCCTGGGTTCGAACTCTGGTGGTGGGTGCGTACTCCTGAAGAGTCCCAAAATTGGACGCAACAGATGCCCAGTACCCCTAGTTTTTCCAGTGGTTCTCTAATTGATGTCAGCACATGATGAAATCTTCTAACCAAATAATCTTTTTACTTTTAACGCCTTTAAATTATAAACAGGCACCAATACATGCTCAAATCCTGACTAATGCGAAATAAGCACTTGCTGGTCTTCGACTTCTCACCAGAAAGGGTAGTTACTCTTCGAGAAAACCAAACTGTCAATTTATATCGTGTTAGAGTTGGTCATCATAGATAAAATGACTTATTTAGTGTTTCTGAGATGTCTGTCTATGATGCAACAAGTTACGGTTACTATGTATCTGCTGAGTTAAACTGGACAATATATCTACTGGATGTCAAACAGATCTCCGCTTTACTTAATCTTCTACTTTTTAGTGTTTTTGAAAATACTATATTTCAGTCTTCCGGAAAAGTTATCATTTTTACACTCATGAGTGTTGTTGCCCATTACAGTCGCCTTAGTACGTATTTAGGCATTGGTATAGATTTCCTTCTTTTCAGCTTGCGTGCATCAAACATCAGTCTATTAGAATTATTCATATTAACATCTACATAGTCCTAGTATGAAATGGAGAGCCAGTCTACCATTCAGATATATATATATATATATATATATATATATATAATATTGAACAGACTTTCAAACACTTTTCATCTAACAGAAAATCTTAAGGAACGGTTAGTCCGAATACTGAGTAATAATAAAAATGAAAGGACGGATGAAAGTTTCGTCGAATTTTTTTCGTCACACAGTCTTCTTATCAAATGGCAGTATACAATGCAATTAGATTATGCTCACTTGAATAGAGTACTTAAGGAATGAAGTAGTTCAAAAAGTTTATGTATTCATTCAACGAAACGTTAATAGTTTAGTTTTCAAAAAAGCCTAGACGATTCACCCAAATATTGTGTGTGATAATGAGAATTTGTACATCGGTGGTTCAATCATCACGCAGGTGATCAGAGTTCGATTCGTAGCTGACACATTCCTAAAACCTCACCTAGCTTGAGAGGTCAGAATGAGCCTACAAAAGAATAAAGATTGCGCACAAGATCAGCAAGCCCAGCCTGTAGAAACAACATCATCACTGCTGAGAGTTCAAAGCTTGAACACTTATGTTCCATTCGGAACTTCTAAAGAGAATAAGTATCTGCATAAAGTATAGCACTGTTCTTGTTCTGTTATTCTTTGAACTATTATTTCGGGGGCAGAATATATATTGATTGTGACTTTGTTATGGTCTGAAAGTATTATTTTCAGCTTTTGAACAGAGATTGGCATAATGATAACGTTATATCAGGAGATAAAAAGTTACTGCTTTTAAATATTCCTATATCATTGTATTAAAATATTAAATAAGAAGGATGAATGCTTTCTCCTGAATTTAGTTGTAGATTCATTAAATTACTAAATAAGTGTGTAATGATTACATTTCATAAAAGCCTGACTATATTGATTTTAAAAATGATGGTTTATCAAATGAACACATATACAACTTGGAAAAGGAAAACAAACTATCAAATTGAAGGTCTCACCATGGGTTTAACAATAGAATGATGCAAACGATTTCGTAAACGAACCAACGGTGGAGAAACGAAGTCAGTATGGTACGGTATACTACAATGTGTAAGAATATTATCGAGGATGATGGTATGTAACTGTATTTAGGCTACTTCAATACACTGGATACGTTGGAATAATAAAAGTGATAAAGTAGTCAATTTTAGACTAGCTATGCGAAATTTTGATAGGATTTTAATACTCTGTTAGAGTAGGAGAGGTGTCGAAGAAAGGACACTGAGACTAAAATTATTTTAAAAGACAGGACAAATAAATTATGAGGAATTGTAAAAAAAGGAATAGCAATCAATCAATAAGAGACAACGGGTAGATTAGAATATGTTGTTTTTAAATATAAAGTTTAGATTTAGCCGGGCATATATCCACCGCTTCACATGTGCTCAATTAACTGATAAGTGGTGAGATGCGTAGCACTAAAAGCTTTTACCTGTTGCTTGTGCAATCGGTTCACAGAATGTAAATGACTTTTCCCACTAAGGAAGGAAAATATCAATGGCTAATTTATATAGTTTTTAGTTATTTCTGCAGTCTCTCTTGTTCTCCTTTCAAATCAGTATATTTAACTAGGTCAGTTGAAAATATTGGACTGTTTTCACTAAAGTGTGAAATAAAATACATTAACACCTCCAGAAAAAAATGTTTTGGGTAAATTCGCTTTATTTCTGAATAGCTGGATGCAAATTCTCCAGTAAATTTTAACATTTATTACGAAATAATCCAATTTATGGACGAAAACGAATTTTCTGTACATGTAAAGTAGAGCCGTAGAATGACAATATGACGATGAAGATTTGAAAACTACATTTGCATACTTGTATAGTGTTTTTCTAATGGAATTAGCCTGTGAAAAAATTTATTTCCACTCATGAGATTTTTTGTTTGAAATAGTTTCAGAAATACTGTGTTGATAGATTACACAGTGCGCATACCACAACAGTTTACGCATCTAGCGTAGAAAAAAACTAGCCAGGGCTTAAAGGTACTCCACTTTAGTGCTATATATATATTTCCCTACATCAAAAATCTACCGTTTCCTAAGTTACCAAACAATGTATTTATTTCACTAACCTGACTTTGTAGTTGGCGTTGCTTCCAGTTTAGGCACCGGTTTTACAGAAGATACTGAGACAGGATATGGCATTTCACTTTCACCATTTTCTTCGCGTTCATCTGGAAGTAATGCTTGTTTTAACTGATGCGTTTCTGCTGTTGTTTTAATCTTTCTGTCGTGTACTGTAGTGGATGGATGCTGCTGTTCTTGAGGTTGAGGTTTTTGTCTACTTGGTGCTATTGAACTGGAAGTTGTTGTAACTGTTGTCAACGGGATTGTAGATATCAGTCGTTCTTGACTTCGAGATAGATTTATGTCGTATTCTAAGTTCGACTTGGTAGGTTTTCGTTGGTCACTAAATGGACTTGAACTGGAAGCAGTCGCAGTAGTAGTTGCAGCAGTTGTTAATGTAGAAGATTTCACCTTTCTCTCTCCTGATACACCATTCTTCATTTTCGATAACATTTCAGAACGTCTGTGCACACAGTGTTCATGGTGGCGATGATGAGAATGTCCATTGGCTGCTGAAGACGGCAATGTACGAATTTGAGCAATGGGATCAGAAATCGTAGGATAATTTTGTTTCATATCACCTTTTGCCAAACGGTCATTTTCGTCTGAAGCGAACAGTTCGGTTTCTTTTCGACTAGTAGTAAAAAAATGGAATGTTAAGTACAAGGAGGACACAGGTGCAGATTTTCTCACTTATCAAAGTATTTGCTAAACAGATAATTTTGCTAATTAATATGGCTTAGTTACGGCTTGAATAAATATCAACAAAACCGTTTTTCATATATAGTAAGTTAACTGTATTTATAGTGTAGATTTAATAATATTTCGATTATTGCTTTTAGAACACTTTATAACTGACCTTAACCATGCGAGCATATCAACTCAATCGATTTAATGAGAACACATTTTTGTCTTGTCCTATCCAGTGGGAAAACCACTAAAAGTGAACATTCAGCATACTTTGCCTATTTTCTTCACAAGTAGTTTTATGTTTGTTTTACGTGCGTGCTGACACACGTAATGTCCTAGTTTCAATGCTTACTTTACTTTATTATAAGGTTACTGTGTTTGGATCACCATAAATGATCATTAGAAATTATAACTATTGCACAGCCAGAAAAATAAATTGGACAATCAGCCTACTATATGATTCATTTTAACTATACATTCATACATTTTAAGACATTTGTTCTAGTGAAATTGGCAGCCTGTTTAAATTATTCGGCTACCTGAATTTTCATTCAACAAAATGTATCAAAGTTTCTCTATTCCCCACTTGAACTGATAAATTTTCGACACGAATCGACATCAGTTACAGAGACGATTAAAAACCAAGGCGCGGTGAACAGTTTTGTCCTAGTTTTGGGACTTTTCAGCAGTGCGCCGGGAATTCAACCCAGAACCTTCAGATTACGAGATAAAGTTCGTTGGCTATCCAGCCACATGGGCTAGAATTCAATGACCCGTAAATTCTCACTCTGTCAATTCGTATAATCCAATTTCTCATTGTTTTCATTGTCCATTTTTCTTTTATGTCACAAAATGTACGTGGGAACATTTCTAATTAGCTTTCAACCTAATATTTGGCATTTCTTGGAGATGATAGAAAAACATTATAAGGCACTGATTTTGGTTTCATGTCGAACAGAAGTGTGTCATGTGAAAATCCTGGATGAAGAGTAAATATTATGCTTTGAGAATTCTGTACAGTCTATTTTTTTTCTCCAAAAAATAATGCTGTTATAATCTTCATTGAATCCCAAGCATTATATTTGTACAAAATTAACATGATAATAGGAACTAGTGGCTCGGTTGAATGATTTGATGTGGCGGTGTTGGGTGGCACGTTTCCAATTATATTATACCATTCGTGCAGAATTCAAATTAGTTCACCTCATAGTGATGTCTGCACTGAAGTGATTGCCTAGAAAGACAATAAAAGCTTTCCAGTTCAGCCGTCCATCTCAGAGAAAATAGCCGCATCAATAACTCGATAGAAAACAGTTGTCTATACAAATAATAAATATACATTCTACTAGAGACGCTTTGAAAATAAAATCATTTTAGACAGAGTTTGGAATATTTGTTATGCAGATAAATTCAACAGCTTAAGTAAATTGTACTCTCGATGTCTTGAGTGCAATCTAGTTGGCAGGGTTCCTTTTAGGCAGAGCAATACTGTCGGAAAAAATCTTTGAAACGAGAAGAAATTTACAGTCCAAAAAGCCTACTTGCATGCAACAAATTATTTTCACTTAGCATAAGTACCAGTAAATTACATCAGGGCATTAATAGCCACTGTCTTCATGTTCGGCAATATTATTCACTTGGTTGACGGACAAGACAACTACATTGAGTGTGCATAGGTTAATTTTCCCTTTGTGAAACATTGTACTTCATAGTACTGAAATGATTTTTCTAGTTTACAAATGGAATTTAGTATGGTAAACGTTATTATACTATTTGAAGTGGAATAAATAATGACCGAAACTAATAGTACTTAAAAAAAAGTATGCATTGGCACTAAACCGTGTATTCACCTAGTTTGACCTTTTAAACTTGAAATGTATGTACGTTTGTATTCAAAATCATATAACATTCGGAAGTCATAATTTAATAATCGATGAAAATTGTTTATTCAATTACAACTAGTTCAAGTGTTTTGTAATTCATTCGCCTTTTACAAAAGAACAGAGTTAATAATCCCTTTTGTTATTTTCTTACTTAAAACATCTTGACCTTATTAGAACCATTTTTAATCAGTTTCTAAGTAGCTTTGATTGTAGGTGGAGACCTATCAGCTGCTTAAAATATCACCGTGATACCACCTAACACATTCAAGTCTTGTTAACTGATTTAAAAATGAAATATAAGAACGCTCTAGCTATAACCACGGTCAATAGGATTTTCTATGTTCGGTTTGATAGAAAAAAGAACAATTGCTCTCTAATTTTATTCCTTTTCTATTTTGTGCTTATGTTATTTGAACTAGTCCACGTGTATAAGTAACTGGTGTGAAAGGGAACAATATGGCTGAATCTGACGTGAAAATTATTTTCCCCGACTCAGAAGATGGAAATACACTTTTGAGTAACATATTGACTAACAATGAATATATGTTGGTAAAAATTGAGTAGAATCAAAGTTTATAAAATTAAAACATATAACTAATGAGAACCACCTGCTCCCTATTTATTGAATTCCCGGGTGATATATACCGTCGATTGTTTTTTCATTCCTTTGCATTGCGAATGGGATATAGGGTCCCAAGTCTTAAGCTTTGATGTTTCAGGAGCGTATGTGTTTTTACGAGGTGAGGTTGCTAGCTTCACGCCCAGTGTTTCATCTTTTCCAGGCTTAATACTGACCAGGCGAGGTTTACGGGTGCATTGGCGGAGGATCGGACCTAGCGTGTGCCCCAGCCCTGAAGCACCGATACACTCAAACATTATCAGGGTGGGACACATACCCTCTTTGAACAACAACTCAGAAGTACAGAATCAGAGCATGCAACAGGCTAGGTACCTCGTAAGGCTAACATTACTCACTAATAATTTCGCGTATTTTTTGACTTCACGCCGAATAACTTGTGAAGCAAAACAGGCATTTGTATTTCGTAACCACTTTAATGTAACTTTGAGCAATAAGCCAGATTTTAAAACACATTAATTTATATAATGTTAATTCACTATGCTACAGATATATCCATTGAATGAACTATAATAGTACTAATCAAGTATTTTATTATACTGACATAATCGGAAATCAAATACTTATTCAATAATTGGCCTTTAATTAGTTTAAGTTCATTTTCGCTTTTAATATGAGCTAATTTCTTTTTGAATTCATTTTACATAGAGCATTTTGGAGACAGGTAAACCATCTGTCTAATGTGATTTCAATGGAACTTGTGCAGTCTTAGTTTTGGTTTGCATGAGTTAGTACCAGATTGCACGTTTATACATCGTTATAATACACTTTATTCAGTGCTTAGAAACTTGTTTTAAGCCAAGCTTCACGATACTCTGAAAATTACTTTAAATTGCATTTTAGTTCAAGCAAAATATCTTTCAGTAGAGGGTAATCTAGGTAATAGACCACACTATCCCTTTCAGTCACTTCTCAGTGCAGAAATATAGGATAAAAGCTATCCCTAAGTAATTTCCACTAAAGATAGATATAAAACCCCACGAAAACTAAATGGTATTCGGGAGCTTTTTAGTTCTACTTTGATATTTTGCTGGCATTTTCATGCACAATTCATTTCAGGTTCGAGTTTGGGATTGTCACATACTTCAATAAGGGTTTTAGTATCTAGCCAATGAACCACTACTGAGTAGTCAATACAGCGAAATTATTAGCACAGATCGTAGCAAAACTACATTGTACTTTCAGTTGCCACATCATATCCGCATATCATTATACAGTGGTATCAATAAGTAGTAGTCAATTACAATTACAGCACAGTTTCAGTGAATTACTGATAGGCATTTAGTGATTATTCAATGAGAAGTATTTGTGAAGAACTGGCTTATGTCTTTTCTAGTCTTTGATTGTGGTCCTTATTTGAAGACTATCCTCATTACTTCTAAACGCCAGATTTCTCATTGACAGCAGACATACAGCACGCTTCGCAAAACAAACAGACTAATCAAAGCTAAATACTTTTTCCAACATAATATATGGTTGATTTATCAAGCAACACGGTTAAGAATAATAATTAAAAGCTAAAGTCAGGAAAGGCAGAAGGCACAATGTATCTAAGTAAACAAACCAATGATCCATAACAGCTTATGTATACGTACACTTACGCATATATATATATATATATATATATATATATATAAGGATGTTTTGATGAATGGTTAGAATAAAACGCATATATGAAAACATGATTTTCTCTAGCTGTTGTTTATTGAAACGAAATCTCACTAGTTATTATAAGTTCTGTCAAAAATATTCCATAAAGATTTTGATTTTAGGAAAAGGAAAAGGGTTTATTTAATAAAAAAACGCTGATGTATATATATATATATATACGTATATACAGAGCGCTGGTAAAAAGTGACTTAAACTTTACTAGATTAGTCAACAGATAAACAATTTATTGAAGAAAACATTCGATCAGTATTCTGTCACATTCGTTAATTAACTTATGCTGACTAGACAGAATAAACACACTTTGTTTGTTAGGCGAACATAGTCATCAATGGCTTCAGAGATCTAGAAAACTGAATTTATTCCTGCAAGCCCAAGACAGTTACAAAATCTGAATGGTTGAAACATGCCAACTGAGCATATGACTAAGTGTCATTTTCTTTTAGTTCAATTTAGCAAACTACACTTAGACAATTTCTTCAGTATACTGTGATCAGATTTTCAATTAAGCTGTACACATTCACCAGCATTCTTTGAATTCATGTCAGATGCATAATTCATCAATGTAAAATCTACTCAAAATAGTGGATTCTTATTAAAGTCTAACACAAGTGATTTCGTGGGCCAATTTTCTGCTTATATGTATAAATATGAGTAAAAGATGATTATACTTATGTTGTAAATAAATTAGTGCTTATAAATGCGAATGGATGAAAGGGCATTTCTGATTAGGGAAATAATCATCGTTCTAGACACACATGGAAAAGAAAGCACAATGCTGGCTGTGGAACTTCAAGGAAAATGTTAGTTTAAAGCATATTTAATACAGGTAATTCTGTTAGGAAACATAAGTGATGTGGTTATTCGGTAATGAGAGCGTCAACTGAGATTTAGATATCAAGTTTACAATATGCTATAAACGAACAGCTCCCTGCTGATTAACGTACGTGATTAAGCAGAGTTACTGGTGTTTTTCTGAACTCAGTGAATAATGTCAGCTTAGAGATATCGCGTGAACAGTGATGCAAAGATATGAGGCCAGTTAGTTAGTTGGTGATAATACGAAACTATGAATAATGGGCACCTTTATATAGTAGTTACCGTCTTAAGTGAGTACCCGTCCTTAGGTTTAGTGAAGCCAGAATTCAAAGAAATAAGATAAAGTCTCACTATTTGTTTCCTATAAGGCCACGGTAGGCATTTTTTCAACTTTTACTAGTCTTGCATATTTCTAAGAGATACTTCAGCATGTTAAAACCGGGTGTTTTATTCTTAGCGTTCCAATGGGAATAAAGGATTTTAGACTTTGAGCTTCGATGTTTACGTGGCGGTGGTGTTGGGGATTCGCTATCCTAACACCCAACCTTCTCTCATTTTTGGGCTTACTGCTGCCTTATAAACTAGGCGAGGTTTAGGGGTATATCGGCCAGAAATCGGACCCGTACCTCAAGTGTGGCTGACGGATATTCTATCATTAGAACCAGATAAGCAGTCATGACAGATAAGCTGTTGCACGGACCAATGACATAAAACGTTTAATAGGCCATAATGTTGACTAGACAGTCGGATTTCTCTTATTTCTATAGATGCAAGTTGTTTGCAGTATCTCGTTTTACCCACAGTAAATGATCATATTTTGATTAGTACTATAAGTAATATGCATTCAATAAACGTATATTTTTTAAATTCAGTGTGTAAATACCATGAAAATTTCACCTGATGTTAATTTTAAGTGCATAAGTTGTGCGTGATCAAGAAAATAAAAATTTATGCCACTAGGCTAAAGTCCCGGCATACTGATTACCTTTAAACACAGAGTGCAGATTTTAATCTGGAATAACTGAACATCGCTCAACTTCACTTAATAGATTCCTTAGAAATGATGTCGTATCATGAGGAAAGCAGTGTTTGGATAAAATAACATTTTTTTTTGTAGAAACTTCTTTATTGAGCTATTCTTTTGGTATCACTGGGTAACTCTTATGCCTATGAACTGAAACGTGAGTCACTAAAGCAGAATGACAGTGATGAATACATTCTGTTTGTAAATACAAAGAAAAGGCAAAAGCTGAATGCTTTTTATAAACATGTCACTTCCTATGTAGTATTTGCTTGCAATGTATGGTTTGACATTGATGACAAGCGACTATTAAAACCGTTATTGTAACAACCGACCGTTTCAACCATTAACGTATATATATATATATATATATATATATATATAAGAAACAGGAAACTATAAATCACGAAGTAATTTGACGTAAACTTTGTTGAGAAAATAACGGCTTCTCCAGAAACACACATAAGACTAGTAGTTATGAAAATTTTCGGCACACTCGGAGATTAAAATAAAATTCAAAGTTCTACGTCGGCCAATTAACTGGTATGTTTCTTTGTAATATGCTCATGTAATTCTGTTATTCTTCTTTGACTACTAATTCAGAAACCAGTCTCAAGAGGTCGAGATCTGTAAACAAAAAGTACGTAGGTTTGTTGGCGAAATATGAACAGCAACAGATCATAAACACAGGATTATCATTTTCCTATCAAACTAAGCTATTGACTGCATATTGTTCTAGAAATTAGTAGTTCCACCTTTTTGGACAGGAAAAAAATTGTATTTGAAATCGAAGTTGGATATTGTATCACAAAAGTTCTGCACAAACTAAGTTTCTTATCAGTTAAATTATAAGGTGCAATAAACAGAAATATTCATTCACAGAAATGCGACGATGTGTAACATGTCAAACTTAAAGACTTTTATATAAGAAAAATCCAGTTAAACTACTAACTAAGCATAAGGATACTAACACTTGTAATGCATATGTAAAGTAAAACAGAATGAGTTCACCAATGAAACGAAACAGAAATTGTTGATAAGCGTACACTAAACTGAAACCTTGAAATATAAATCTACAAAAACTACGACCTCCGAAACGTTCACAGTTACAAAGACGATTAGTCCAAGACTTACCTTTTTGAATGAGTCCTCTTGGAATGTCTTTTGCATGAATCACTTTCTTCTTTTGATATCTGTTTATAATGACTTGATGGATACTTATGTGACATTTGTTTACTTGATTGTCCAGATTTACGGTGTGATTCAGAAGTAATCGGTATATCTAAATGTTGACTTTGACCAAATTCATGACCAGTAAATCCATGGAATGGTGGAGGTTGGACGTAAGGAGGATATGGCAACTGAGATCCAATCGGTAGGCGAGAAGTGAAAGGAAAATGAGCTCCAGGTGTTTGATACAGGTGAAAAGGATAACCACCGGTGGCTGCAGCCAAAGCAGCTGCTTGTTGCCTTTGGTGTTCCAGGTGAAGTTGGTATTGTTTAACATCTACTGAACGAGGACGTCTAAGTACCACGTATGGCACTTCTTCAAGCATTTCAGCCGCAGCAGTCTCTAAGTCGTTCAGTGACATTAAATTTTGATTACCATCAGCTGATTGATCCAGTTGTCCATGTGTGTGATGCTGGTGTTTATTTCTTTTCATTTGGTCTGATTTTTTACCTTCGCTGTGCTTCCCATGCGTACGCTTCACATTGTCCATTGGAATCATACCCTGCATATATGATGTAGATGCACGTGAATCATCTAATTCACTCAGATGAATGCCTGCAGGAATTGAATTAGACAAATGATGACCATGAGCACATACATGTTCATATCTCTGAAAGTGTTTCGGATGTTTGGATTTGCTTGGTGCATTGTTGCGTGAAGTAAGATGTTTTGTATTAAATGCTTGTTTGTATCCAGTTCTTTGATTAGTCGAGATATCTTTCTCAGACGGGAGTATATAGGTATTAGTTTGTTCTAAGGGTATAGATTTCGATGCATGTGGGCAAGTTAGTGAATGTTGTAACATAGGATTATTAGAATTAATACAAGGTACAGAATGATGACATGTAGTCGATGTATGTGGAGTTAGATCTGAGCGTATTATAACTCCAGTTGTACTTTCAGAACTACTTGAGCTCCATTGGTCCAATGATGCAACATGTATTGGTTCTACACTAGAGTTAAAGCGTGAAACTCCAACATCAAAACTAGAGAATAAAGAGTCATATGTTTTAGTCCCTGTAACCGAATTGGTTGTGCCAAGCGATTTTGCTGTAGTCGGAGATGTTGTTACTGGAGAAAGTGTTGAAGTTGTACATAGGGATATTTGAGTCGTACTGGCTGTAGAAAACGTTGGAGCTTTTGAATCAAACTGAAATTAAGAGAAAGATTCATTTAATCTAGTAAACTAAATTTTGTACATAAATTCTAGGACATTATTTCTAACCGTACAAAATAGTGATCCATTCAAATAAGTCAGAAATACTTTTACCACGGTTTAGATTAACTTACATAGAAAAATACAGTTTTTCATTGAGAGTTAAAATCGCATGATTCTTAAATCCAACATTTTTTAAAATTATGAATTCGTTCATCATGAAGAAAAAGGTCAGTTGATTTGTAACAGAATTAGATCGGTAGATACACCGATAACCACACTATAGATTTCCGTGACCCCCATGTATATTGTTGTTAGATGTTTTACCAATTAGGTAAGAGATTGAGAAAACTAACTTCCACTTTACTGTCAGCTGATTCGTCCATGACCTTGTAACCTTTTTCAACCAGTAAAAATACTTAACGTATGAAATCATAGGCATCTTTAAATGGAGTATCTACCAATCAGAAAAGAGATTGAAAATATTGCCTATGTGATGTTCTGCTTTATCTTATTGATCTAGTAAAAAAAATTCTTTTGTACTTCAAAGTTTTCAAACATTCAGTTCATTCGATTTGTTAATCAATCCACCCTAAAGTGCAGTTACGTTCCTCTCAGCTGTGAGTTCCTTTCCGATTCTCCTACTTTCAAGAGTTTCATACTGACCCAGAAAACTTTAGGCTTGACTTCAAATCTACTTTTGTTCGAAGATCTGCCAAACAGATTCCCCCCTTATATAAATGAAAAAAGTTGAATAGATCGATGAATGCAACACAAAAATCCATTGGTCGTGTTGAAAACACCTCAATCACATAACAGAACTTCGGATAATAGATATAATACATGACATTCCGTGTTAACTATTGTTGAAATTTAAACTCGTTTCGGACTACTGCAGGATTATAAAATCATGAATTCAGATACAACTCATGGTAAACAAATACCAGTGGTTTCCAAACCTTTTGCGTTTTATAATCTAGGGAACCGACGGTGTATACCGTTAACGCTATCGAAATGGATTTCCCGAGGGTCAGATGAATAGCCTGTGAGATCTATTTGGATAACGCTTATTCAGTGCAGAAAATAGAAGTGGGCAGAGAAATGACCAGTTTGAATTTCGACAGGCTACCTAAGTAGTAAAAAACTACTTTTGGGACATGAAGAATCTGAGACTGATCCCTCCAATCCAAGTGGAAGATAATTGCCACATTATAATGTAGTTTATATAAATTAAGATCTCACTTTGATTATTGTAATTCTCTACAGACTACCGGTTGCGTTAAACACTTCACTAATAAGCTATTCTGTTAAACCGAAAGTCCACAAAACCAGTTTTTCAATATCAGAAGAACAACCAGAAGAGGTCAGCTCTGTTAGAAGTAAGGCGAAGTGATATTGACATGAAAGAATTTACTTTTTTATTCATGAACAATTTCCGTCCAGGAATTAGTCAGAAAACAAAACAAGTAGTTTAGCGAATTCATTTTTTAACTGTACAATAGCACCGATATACAACTATGCTTATGAAAACTCATCGCTCTTGTTAGTATCCTCTTTCGGGAATTAACTTTCATGTACAACAGGGATTTCTACCAACCTTCTTCGAAAATATATGAAACTTCCATAACTATTCAAATGAACTGTCGTCAAGATTTGACAGAATAGTTCTAAAATATTTGGGCGCCAAGTGAGAAGTAGACACGATTAATTTCCCTGAAGAAGTTCGGACCAGATTGCCGAATGAAACGTTGGAATTACTCATTTCAATCTCGCTGAGACTTTACAAATATAATTTTTACAAATTTCCATAACTACACCTAGAATGGTAGTAAACTGTCGGTGGACTTATTAAGTACATTTACTCACTGTAATTGCTTAGTATGTGATGGATCTTGAAAATGAAGCAGAATATGAACAAAGTAAGAAGGAAAAATGAGCATATCCTTTATTATTTTGAGGATTCTTTTCAACTGCTTACAGCCTGAACAATACAAAAAATATAAATTAAATTAAGTATTTGAATATATTTTTTCGCGATGACAAGAAGTAGCTGTTTGGAACCAAGAGTAGTGTAAGTCCAGAAAGGTGTCAGTTATTAAATTACTGCGAGTTAAAAAGATTTCTCAATGTGAACTGAACATAGCCACTGGAGGTAATGAGACTCAATGTATATGTCATACACAGAGCTACCAGGTATCTATGCTTCAGTAAAGGCAGGTTGACAATGAACTAACAGTAGTCAAGTTAGGTGGATCATTAGGTCAGCGAGGAGTGACTAAATATTCTCTCATCTAAAGAGGTTTCTGCACTACACTATAGTACGATTTTTCTGGTTACACATTCAATATGATAATAACTATGTAATAATACGCTGATAAACAGAATAACTGCAAAACAGATGGCCAAGTGATATTTTGAGAAACATTAGAGTTTCAGTTAAGCATTTCCAGTATTGATTTTATAGGGATTCTTTTGCTTGATTGGTTGGAAGATTTTATCATGAGCTGACCTCAGTTAGAGTCCCTCCTAGTTAGGGACTCAACAGTACGCATCCATCGGGATTCGAACCTAGGACCCTCTGGTTACAAAGCAAGCCCGTAGACCATTGAGCCACTGTAACCCGATCCAGTGGCCAGCCCATGAATTCTAACTTCTGCCAGTTCACGACGTAGCGTGACCACTTCGCAATGTCTTCTTCGATGAGTTACTGCCTCACCTTCAACCCACTGTACTTTACTGGTCACGGCTTCTCACTCGAACCCCAGGTTGGTTGCCTGAATAGGGTAAGTCACTAGTAAGCATCAGAACCCCGGTGGGTGCGTACTGTTGAAACGACTGAAACGATAATGAAAATCAAGTAGTACTGAAGGATTCATAATCACATTTAGATAAGTATGTGAAAATACTGCTGAAGCATATTTAAGTGAAAGGAAAAAGCTGCTGTATGCATTTGTTAGCTATATTGAACTGTTAGTGAAAATATCCACGTAAATAGGTATCTTTCAGGATTCATTACTAATTTACTTGCATAACCACTCACATAAGTGCCTCAGAATAGGTTCATTTATTCGATTTTTATTGTGTGCATTTAAATGTTGAGAATTTATGTAGCAAGGGCACATTTTTCGTGTATCAGGCTATGAGTCAAGTATCAGACAGCTAAGTCACATACTTCTAAATGTCTTTTAGAATTAGTTCTATAACCTAGGTCTTCGAATCAGCATTTTGAAGAAACTAAAATAGCCAATAATTGTTATTTTTGTATTACTTGGTACAACCTTGAATCATTTTTGGCTTCCTTTTCTTATTTCCATATTAAAAAACTCATCCACTAAAATATATTGTTTTTCGTTTCACTGAATTCAAAATCTGCACATTGGAATTAGAATGTCAATATTATAGATAACCTAAGTGATTGTGTTTTTTAGGTTGGAAGAAACAAACGAATGATACTTAAACTGTGCAATATTTTCAGCATCTTGTATAAAATACAAAATGTTCATTACATATATCAATGCATCATAGTATTTTTGCTTACCTCATCTAAAAATAAACATCCATAGGTTTCATTATCACTCGGTTTAGTTATAGACTTGACTAAATCCATGGGTTCATTTGAACTACTCGTGAATCCAAAAGTTTGCAGAAAATCACTTAGTTGTACTCTGTTTGATTCAGTTTCTGACTTAGGTAGTTGCATGTCTCTTATCATTGTATCACTTGACTCGGTCGACTTCAGTAAGGCAATGTCATTTAAAGTTATTGAAAATGTATCTTCGTGTGGTAAAAAGTCATATAGTATTGAATGATTTGGAGATAACAATTGGTCGGTGAATAGTTGATTTTGGGATGGCTTAGTACTTGTTACATTTGTTGTATACGTGGTTGACGTTGACGGTGATGAAAGAATTGATAGGGATGTTGTGAATGGTGGTATTGTAATAGATGAAGCAACAGTTTGGGGTCTTATGGACAGGTTAGGTAACACTGACAAAGTCATTGTTGTAGCTGTAGAACTGTCAACTGAAGACTGCGTTGCACTTGTCGGGGTGATACTGCTAAATGGTGATGCAGAACTAGTTAAGCTAGTTATAACACTGGATGATACTGAGGTGGTACGGGTGAAAGATAGGTCTCCGTCTAAGCTGATTTCCAAACCAAGTTGGGTAACAGTAGGCAAGATCAATGTAGCCTCATATGGTCGAGATTCCACTAGACTTGCTGTAGTAGCATTTGATGACTGTGCATTACCATCAACTGCATCTGCATTATTACTAGATGAATCAGGCCTTTGTGAAGCTTATACCAAAGTAGAAGAAAGCATGAAATAAAAATTATTTACACATTCACAAACTCGATTTATTTGTTATTCTTCTTAAAGCATACTGACCAATCTGCCACAAGGATACAGTAAAGTTTCAGGAAGGAATAAATCTACTTGGAAACATTGAACAGCAAATTTGTCGTTTAAACTCTATGCTTGTAACTGTTAACACAGGCGTTAATCTCATGAAACTCTGAGATACAAGCATTATCAAAGTAGGATATCATTACTACGTAAATATTGGAGTTGGCATACTTTTTACTTACACATTAAGAATTGAAGCTGAGAAGTGAAAATATAACATTAAAAGCTTAGAATTGTATTTAACGGCATAAGACAAAAAGGAAGAGGTCTTGATGATAAAGCGTATAGAGTTAAATTTGGGATATAAGTTTAACAGAGTGGTTGGTTCTGTGCATACTAAAGCCATACTCACAGACTCCATCAAGACAGTCAGTGACATCATAGATTTGAGTAACTTATATACTATACTATACTTTCTTCTAACTTTAGGATGCTTCTGACAACATAGTGAAAACGAATGGGAATAATTAGTATACATTTTTGTAGCTTCAGTTGAAAGGGTCCAGCAATTTAATTTACTTGCCTGCCTCTGTTACCTACGACTTTACCATAAACTTTATGTCACTTGTATGGTTCTCCAATCAAAAATGACTAATGTCATGAAAACAGTGACAGCTGATATCATCGTTAGTTCGGTAGGTTTCACAATTATCTCAATCTTTTCACAAGTAATGTCGGTTGATGGAAACCAGGTAATGAAATGGAATCTTCGGAAAATACATATAATAATCTATTCTTCAGACGACAAAAATGGTGTTTTCATTGACAGCTTAAATGATGCAGTCAAATCAGTCAATCATCTAACGGTTTTAATTAAATGATGTGTGAATGCAAAGTAATCCTGAATATAAAAAAAATGTTTGATTCGGGAAGTGAAAACTCCTGATAGACACCGCTAGATACAGGTGTCTCAGAGGATATTCTATAATATACTTAGAAGGTATTATCAGTATTTTCTTATCACGCTTATCTTCATGTTGTCTTTCAGAAAGGATATTGTCAAAAGATTTCTCTATATGAATGGAGTCGGATGTTTCAATCAGGCAAATAGTTACATGAAATCTAGTCTATTCAGTATGCAATTAATTCATGGCAAAGTCTACCTTGGAGAGTGAGTCACAGTGAATAAGCACAAAAGCCTAGGTCAGGGCGGTTTTTCTGTCTGGAGCCTCTACCTCTTGAATCTAATGTTTTTTTAAAAGCGTCATTTAAATGTTAATATACGTTTTTTTTGTTCCAACAGTTAGTATTTATAAAATTGCGCGCAAATATAAGGTAAAAAGAATAATTTTCCGCACGGACAAAATTTGAACGTTCTGAGTGAGTATAGTTTCATTTCTCATACTAAATATTCAAAATCTCACTACCACTCAATGTAGGAAATTCAAGAGTAGGAGAGGAATTTACAGAATTTGAAAACTTATGGATATTTTAATCCACTGGAAAAAGGGTTAAATTAACTCTTCTAGTTAAATAAGATGTTTTTAGTTTCTTGATAGTTTCATAGTGTTTTGTAGAATCGTATTGTAAAATTACAAGGTTATTGAGGTTTAGTTAGATGAAGATTTCCAGTGACACTAGAGAACTGTGAATGAAAGAAATTAAGTATAGGGATTAAAGTTAAGAGAATTGAGTTTATTAAGGAAAAAAACATAAATATGAACAGTAGTAACATTGTTAAAGATTTTTGAAGCGAAATTATTTGTCTTTAAATATATATAGAATGCCGTGGTTAGACAAATTCTAGTCGGTTAAAAATGTGTTGATCGAATATAAATTCTAAAAGTACATTGTTTTTTTCTCTGTAAATACCGATGCTGAAGTATATATATATATATATATATATTTACTATGCTTTACAACCGTGGAGTTGCATTTTATTCCTTTGTAAACAATGCACTCTGCATGAAATGTTATCCAGTAAATAAAATTATCTCACTCTGTGACTTCTCAAATGCTAACAGACCAATGGAGAATAACATACTGCAACAGTGTCTCAGTTTTGCAGATAATAAAATTAGGGCTAGCAAGGAAAAGGAAATGAAAATAATCAGTAATTCTTCCAAAAGCTGTCTGAAACTGAATGACTGTTTAGATATGAATTCATATGTACCTAGACCATTTCATATAACAGTATGACTTTTGAAAACTACTACATGGAGTGATAAACTTTTTATGTGTACTGTGTTGTGAATACTTTAGGAAAGTAGAAAATTTCCAAGAACAGATTAACTCAAGCCCCATGTTTAGTGAATCCAATTAAGAAATGAATTATCAAAATAAGGGTGAAAGACAGAATCACGAAATTAGGTAACTACTAGACACTGACTTGATATTCTGTAAATACTGGCAATATTATTACTGTCACTTACTTTGGACACCAGTAAAGTAAGCGAACGTTTTTGCTATAGATAAACGCCATAATACGTAACAATAAATACTGAAGCTTTTGCACGTGTTTATTAAAGATCAGTTAGAATCAGATTAATATCACATGGTCGAAAATGTTTGTAATAACGACCAGCTTGCCATATATACTGTAATCAATATTTTACTTTACTAACCAACTTAATTTCTCGTACTGTGCACACCGACTGAAGATTTAAGGGTGCGAGAGTCTTCTTCCACTTGTTCCTTGATGCGTTTACGTCAGTGTGCAGAAAAAATTGGAGCTTTTATGCAAATGATGAACTGGCCGATGATTAGACTGCTATTGTATGGAGCTGTGGCTCATTGCTTTAAGTGCTTGACTTTCAAACTATAGGTCGTCGCTTCCAACCCCACTCCCCCTAGTGACGCTCGAGTAGCCAGGGTACGTCAGAAGCCGTTGCGCCATAGACGTGGCTCATATACGTCTGCATGGAAATGCAAGTGGATGTTGAGTTACATTTCACTTATTTTTAATTTTCAGACTGCTATCGAATTAAAACATTGAGAAATGCCTTGAAAGTAAAATGTCTGAATAAAGCGGAACAATGAACGCACAGTGTTACATGTATGATGTAAAGGAGGTAAATCAATAAGCAGCTGCCAATTTAAATTCCCATATCTTAACAAAAGAATTTTATGAAATATTCGTTTTAACAGTAGAATGAGAGACACACAAGGAAGTTTGTCTAAATGAAGAATAAAGATAAAAAGAGCTTATCTTAGCAGTCAATAATATGGTTAAAATTTGTATTTAACACGACATGAAAGCCGATTTAATGACGGAATGCCTTTAGATTGAGCACAAACTCAACTTCTTACACAACAGTACAATCAAACTGAATACAAATGAAGTGTTGATATTTCTGAACAATTACGGGAAATATATCATTCTTGGTTTAAGGAATAAATGAGAAAGCTTGAGTTTAGAACTTAGATATTCATTAGTGAAATACACAAGCTGTAATCAGTGTATCTTAAGTGTTTCATATGTTCCCTAATTAACAAGTCTACAGACTGTTTTACATCAACAAATCCCTGGACATTGCGTGGAAAAGCAAAACTTGAAGAGCTAAAACATTCACTGAGTGAATAACGAGTTTAAATGCAATTATGCTTAACTGATGTCCTATTTTATTGAGAAAATAATAAGAATATCAAATCTAGTATGCTTTTACACAGGAATAACAAATCGTTAACTAGTACGGTTTTCCGTGAATGCGAGTTAACTCGACAATAAACTGCAAATGATACACAAGAGAAAACAAGAATTTTTAGGGCATAAGGGAAACAAAATAACAAGCATAATTTATATAACTGCAAGAGCAAATACACTAGCGAATTACAATGAATTAAAGACAGTGTAAACAAAATAGAGGTAGTTTACTTACACATAGATGTTAATGGATTTAAAATATTGGCTGTATCCATATGTAATTGAATTATTTCGCCTAATGATGGCTCCATAAGTGTATTTCTTTCAAACTGAATAGGCTTTAAAAGAGAGAATATCACAAGAACCTGATAAACAATAGTCTAACACTTACGTAAGAAAAAAAAAAGTAGACAAATGAGTTGGAATTATTGATCACAATAGTTGTCATAAAAATGTCTTTCTCAATGAATTTAAGCAACAAAAGAGATAAATAATGTAGACTGTATTCAGTTTATTGTCTCGTCGTTTTTATGTTTGTTTTGAATTGGTATTATTTTTTGAAAAATGCAGTACAAGTAAAAGAACTCAGCTCATTATTACTTGCGCTTGATTATAAGCGAGCAATGAAAAAGGCAATTTTTTGTCATTGTTTGTTAGGAGAAGTTAATCTCTAAGATACCCTAAGATTTGTGCACCCTGGTAGTATTCGGGAAAAGGTACCGCCATTATTAAGGGAATTCATCCTCCTACCCCTCACCAGCCCCCGCATTGCAGCTTTCATAGTCGCCTTAACCTGGTAAAAATCTACAAGGTAGGCAGGATGGAAATCAGTCTAAATATCCTACCCTTATTGTAAGTTATGTTTAAGGCCTATCGATCAAGTGTTCAATTTATTGACTCCGTTAATTGGCGCTAAATTAAACCCGTGATCGAGTGACCCAGTTTTCTAGCTAATTAATAAATAGTAATCATTAGTAGATAAAGATCAGGAATAAAAAGCTGAAGAAACTAAGTGCCATTTATGCGTATGCCTTATTTGTCATTTTAAGTTTCTTAGTGCCTGTTTCCCATCCACGTCTTTAAAATCTGTAAACCTAGCGAAAAACAGAAGCTATACTGACTTTCATAACAGTGATCTTTGAATAACTATCTGATCAGTCTATGGATTGAGTCTACAGGCCTGAATGATAATACTATCCCTGTCGCAGTTCATTTGTCAGCGTAATATCTCCAAAATAAATATGTAAATTTTCAAGTACTGGTTTTTATTGTAGGGATTATGTTTGACTGGTTGGAGGATTTCATCATGAGCTGACATCAGTTAAAAACTACTGGAAGACCTAGGAGTACTGGACAGTTGCTTTGTCCTAGTTTGGGACTCTTTGGCAGTACGCACCCACCGGGGTTCGAACCCAGGAATCTTCTGGTTACAAGGCGAGCTCGTAGACCATTAAGCCACTGGGACCAGATATGTAAATGACTGAATACTTTTATTATACTAAACGCAAGCATAAAATGATGATCTTTTAAACTCAGTTCTCACAGCTTTGCGTGTAACAAATTTGTGTGCTGAATTGTATATAATGATATCAGGGTTGACAGCATTTCGTGTGTGAATGCATAGATTCGTTCACCAGACAAGAAGATAGGTCAGTTTGTTAAAAGTTCTCTTACCCTTAACAAAATGTGAAGATGAGGTTTATTTTCAGAAGTACTTAAACCATACTAATTAAAATCGCAGACTACATAATATCTATTTACAAAGTTAATAATAGCAATATTTTTCGATGAAGCAGTACCTGATATTCGTAAGTACTGACACGTTTAGTGATATATGTGTTAATTAATGAAAACTAGGTATAAGATGTCTTACACATCAGTTTTGATAATTTTACATATGCATGTATACTTATTTAGTGCTAGGTAGGGTGATTAAAACATATTTTGACCCCTTGAATGGGAACACATTAATTTAAAATAGTCAATACTTACTTCAGAAGACAACTTCATACTGTTCTCTTCGCGTGTCGTCAGAATTTGCGATGTTCGACGCGGCTTAGGAGGCGGTTGTGAATATTCAGAACGATGAAGTGAATCTGGTTGACTAGCCAGATTTTTGGAAGCAAACGAAAGAGACCAGCTTGGCTGGCTATCTGAATCGAAAATTGATGTGTTAATCAAATTAAATGAGCGAGACGTATTGTAATCACTTAAGTGATGTTCACTTGCTTTAAAGCCACTTAAGTCTGGAAGTTTCTCGTTGCCCTGATCGAATGAAGGAGATGATGAAAACAAGTATCCCCTTATAGAACCATCCTGCAGTAGATCAACCAGATTGGTAGACGTCTTACTCGACTGTGACTTCTCAGCATCTTTATTCATACCATCTGAATCATTTTGAATCTGTTGGTCAGATAAAGATGTCTGGTCATCTCTGGAAGTCAGAAAAGCGTCCAGTTCTAGATTAAGACGAGACAGTGACTGACCCGGTGAACCAGCCTCAGATTTCCATGCACGACTTGAAATATCTTCTTCCAAGAGTTTATTCTCGTTATCTCCACTCCAATCTCCAGTCATTCTTCTTCCCGATTCATTTTGTGAGCCTGACTGTAACTTATCCGCTTCACCTTCTTCCAAGTCTTCGATATTTCTTGGATGGCTACTTCGACCGCTACCAGTAGCACTTCCAGACATTGTAGCATAACCACTGGTGGGTAGTGTTGTTATAGGTAAATGGATATTTGTTGGAGATCCGTCCGCTATTTGTTGGTTATTGCTGATCGCGTTAACCCCCATACTTTGGGCTCTTTTTAATGCAGGTTGCTTACCCAGTGTACCGATTAAACTTCCACTCATATTTCCTGACATAAAACTGCGCCTGTCGGCTGAACTTGATCGTAGTGTAAGTGACGCAGAATTCAGTCGCCTTTTGGAGTAGGTGGGTCCAGTTGTTTTGATTGTATTAAGTTGTCTAGCAGCCGATGGCCTGTCGAAATAAAAAAAAGAATAACAGTAGATTCCAACTTCCATTAAGTGTATCATAGTGACAAGTCTAGTGTAAATAATTCATACCTTAACGTATCACAAAATTTTTGTTTATTTCATTTAAAAATTACATAATTTTTTTATTACAAGTTAAAACTGTGAACCTGACAATTAAGTGCAATTGTTTTCTTTCACTAACACTATGTAGTATAATTGCATTGTTGTATTGTAATTCTGCAGCTAATAATTTAAAAACTCAGAGAATAAGCTCAAAATAATTATGACTAGTTATTACTTGGTCAAGTATCTTGTAAATAAGGAGTTCGTGACGCACATTTTCATAGGCTACAAAATGTGTACGACAAAAATAATTAAATGATCCATTTAGTTGCCCAATAGTTAATGCCAGAGAATAGGGCATCTTAGCGAGCATCTCAACATCAGTGAACAAGCCTAAGACTTAAACTGAAACAAAATGAAAATATTACAACAAACAAAACAAAAACTGCAAGTGACTCTATAAAAGCCCTTAAATCCAATGCGTTTATATGACTAAGAGGGAACCAACCAAACAGCAACTAACTAGACACCAATCCAACAAATAATTAATTTATTGACATAACTCACATTCACGCAATGTGGCTAAAAATTTCATAGTTTGAATAGTAAATCATATTCATTTACATTTCACTGGATAATTTACACATATCGTGACGTAATTTTAAGAAAAAACACATCACAAATCTAAATGAAGCCGGCGTCGAGAAAGTCACTGGTGTGAGAGACAGTTTACAATCAGGTATTAAGGCTCATTTATTATCAAAACGTTTGTCCGCTATTAATCTTCATTAAGCAGATGCATCGCAAAAATTGTCATTGTGATTAACTCAAATATTTTGAAGCAAAGGTAATGAGAAGTGCTTTCTATTCTGTAATGCTTTTTTTGCAGCAGACAAAAATTCAGCTTTACATGACACAATTTACAGTGATTTTCTTGAATGAATTAACTACAAGGACGTACGCTAATACATTAGCGACATTTCACGTTTATTAGCTGAATTAACCAAACTTACAAGCTATTCATTCACTAATGACTTATTTTCCTGATATTACAAAGTAATTAAAAGTGAGTAAGCAGAATATTCGCTGCAATCACAATATTCAAAAGAAAAAGTCTGTGTGGGGACATGGAATGTCCGCACCATGTACAAGACTAGCAAAGCTGCCCAGATCGCAAGCGAAATGAGGAGATACGGACTACAAGTATTGGGGATCTGCGAAAGCAGATGGAACGGAAACGGACTCACCAAATTGTCAACAGGTGAGTCAGTGATTTACTCCGGTCACCCAGAAGACAACCGCACACACACCGAGGGCGTGGCTATCATGATGTCACCAACGGCAACCAAGGCTCTGATACAATGGGAGGCGATCTCACCCAGAATAATGAGCGCCAGATTCAACTCCAAAGGAAGAAAAGTGTCAATTATACAGTGCTATGCACCGACCAACAACGCAGACCTCGAAAAGAAAGAAGAATTCTACAGACAACTACAGGCAGCAATAGACAATACTCCAGCCGGTGACATTACAATACTAATGGGAGACATGAACGCCAAACTTGGACCAGACAACACAGGAAGGGAACTCATCATGGGTAAAGAAGCTCTGGGAGAGATGAATGAAAATGGAGAATTCTTCGCCGACTTCTGCGCCTTCAATGAACTAGTGATTGGTGGCAGCGTATACAAACACAAGGATATTCACAAAGCTACATGGGTGTCACCAGATGGGCGAACCAAAAACCAAATTGACTCCATCACAATCTCGAGGAAGTGGCGGCGCAGCCTACTGGACACAAAAGTAAGAAGAGGAGCAGACGTTGGCTCAGACCACTACCTCGTACAAGGAACAATCCAACTCAAATTCAAAGCTTTCAGAGAAACAGGAGCTGCAGATAGACCACAAGCCAAGTTCAACACTCAAAAACTAAAGGACCAGGATACAAAGGATATCTTTACTGCAAGCATAAAAGACAAAGCCGAGACACAAATCAACACTGGTGAAGAGGTCAGCGTCGAAAAACATTGGGACAACCTGAAAACGGTATGGAGCGAAACCTGCATGGAAGTTCTGGGCAGAAAGAAGAGACAGGACAAACCATGGCTCACGACGGACACTTGGAAGCTAATAGAAGAGAGAAGGATGGTGAAACAAAAGATTCTCCAGTGCACCGACGAGCAACAGAAACAAGAGTTGAATGCAAGCTACAATACACTGAACAAAGGAGTAAAGAAGAGTGCCAGAGAAGACAAAAGAAAGTATTATGAAGCCATGGCCAATGAAGCAGAACAAGCAGCAAGCAAAGGAGACCTCGCAACACTCTACCAAACAACTAGGTACCTCTCAGGCAAAAATTCGTCACAAATTAAGCCAGTGAAGGATGACAATGGAAAGTCAATCACCAAAGAAGTGGAGCAAAGGAAACACTGGGCTGAACACTTCAAAAGACTACTAAACCGACCGCCACCTACAACGCGCCCAACAATACCAACAACGGAAGCAGAATTACCAGTGAACATCAACCCCCCGAGGAGAACAGAAGTCCTGAAGGCAATAAAGATGCTGAAAGCTGGGAAAGCAGCAGGACCAGATGGAATCCCAGCAGAAGCATTGAAAGTGGACCCAGAGACAACAGCAGACTTGATGACGCCACTACTGGAGAAGGTGTGGAAAGAAGGCAAAGTACCCGAGGATTGGAAGAAAGGCTACTTATTCAAACCACCAAAGAAAGGAGACCTAAGTCAATGCAAGAACTGGCGCGGAATTATGCTCCTGTCCATCCCAAGCAAAACACTAAGCCGCATCATCCTGGAAAGGATCAAACAAGCCCTGGATGAAAAACTTCGACCAGAACAAGCTGGATTCAGGAGAAACAAGTCATGTATTGATCAAATCGCCACACTACGGATCATCACTGAACAAAGTTTGGAATGGCAGTCACCCCTCTATCTCAACTTCATCGACTTTGAAAAGGCCTTTGACAGCGTCGATCGAGAGGTGATTTGGCAAATACTTCGCTACTACGGGGTGCCGCCGACAATTATACATCTCATCCAACAGTTGTATGACAACGCTGCATGCCAAGTAATCCACAATGGGAAGCTCACGGAATCCTTCGAAGTGAAGACAGGAGTAAGACAGGGTTGCCTACTATCGCCAATGATTTTCCTGATTACAGTAGATTGGATAATGCGACAAACAGCGGGCAATGAGGAAACAGGCATAAAATGGACACACACAAAAAACTTGGAGGATCTGGACTTCGCCGATGATATATGTCTGATTTCCCACAAACTGGAAGATATGCAAGTGAAAAGTAATAAGTTGGCAGAAGAAGCATCAAAGATAGGACTCCAGGTGAACATAGAGAAAACGGAGGTGATGAAGATTCCTGGCCAACACCAACAGCAACAACAACAGACAGCAATCAGCATAAATGGAAGAAACCTGAAAGAAACTACCTCCTTTACCTACTTGGGAAGCATCGTTTCAACTACAGGCGGAACTGACGAGGATATCAAAGCAAGGATCGGGAAAGCAAGGCAAGCTTTCATTACTCTCAAGTCTGTGTGGAGGTCAACATCATTCAGCGTCAAAAATAGGATCGGGATTTTCAACTCCAATGTGAAGTCAGTACTACTATACGGATCAGAGACTTGGCGTGTCACAAAGAGCACCTCAAACAAGCTACAGACCTTCATTAACAGATGTCTTCGCTCAATACTCAAGATCAAATGGCCGGAAAGGATCAGCAACAAAGATCTCTGGGAGCGAACCAACCAGGAACCGATTGTGAAACAAATAGGCAGAAAGAGATGGAGGTGGATTAGCTGGCCATACTCTGAGGAAACCATCAAGTGACATCCCTAGACAAGCCATTGCTCGAGTGGAACCCGAACGGGAAGCGGTGAGTTGGTCGTCAGTGCAAGGGTGACTTGGAGGAGATCATGCGAAGAAGAGATGAAAGCATGTGGGCAGACCTGGAGCCAGGTGAAAACTCTAGCAGAGAACCGAACGCAATGGAGACGCATGGCTGAAGCCCTATGTTCCTCTAGGAATTAAAGGAAATAATAATAATAATAAGCAGAATATTCGCTGCAATCACAATATTCAGGATGTCTGAGTGTAAATATTTTTAACGCTGTAAAAACTGAGAAATAAAATGAAGATTCAATGTAAGGAGAAGTCAGTCGAAGGAAACTCTAATGCAACATTTAAAATGTCATATTCACTCCATGACTAGTAACTTCAATACTCAGTGGTAAAGTCAGATACTTCAGCATTAAGCTCTCCGTAGCATGAATAATCCAGTGCATGCAAATCAATCGATGAGTCATAAACTATGCGGAGGTATTATTTCAAGTGTTCATGAAAAACTCAAAGTGTACTGTTACATGACAGCACATTAACAAGTTAATTCGTCACCAACCATCGAACAAATCACCAGATAAATATACTCCTTAATAATATAATAGGAAGCCATATTTTGTAGAATAAATAATCATAACTTGTAAGTGGTCGATTATTATTGTTATTATTTTTACTTTACTAACTCCTGGTTGAAGAACGATTTCATGTTTGATTGAGGCTGAATTCAAGATGGTTTTCTTTTTTTCGCCCTAACTATTATTAAACCTCAATGCATTCGAGTCTGTGGTTCAGTGGTATGATACTTGCCAGCCAGGTCCATATTCGACTCCTCACCAATGCATTTCGCTTGTCTGGAAAATGAGGAAAGTAGAGCGTAAGGCAAGAAATCTTGCCAAGTAAATGCAACACTCTGCTACCATAATTTCAGAGTCTGAGGCTCTATATTCCGCTGAGAACATAAAGAATGACGAAAAAACATAAGTGTAAGGAATTTTTAAAATTCAGCTTCCTCTGTCATTTGTGTCTATTACTATAAGATCAAAGGCCATATTTATTCTCTAACTTTTATTCACATATCTGAAAGCCATATAACAGTGAACATTTGTGCTGTAGTCCGAAAAATTCCAAGGTAATAGTGTAGTAAGAATTTAGTTTATGATTATTGACCTTTTGTAGAACTCCTAATTGATAATTCTCTGTCAAAGAAGTAATATATACTTAAATCATTTAGCTAGTGCTCTTCAAAATAAACGTTAGTTCATTTGCTAAAAAAAGAAGTTCGAAGGAGCTAATCACTACTATCAGTCAAAACATTACAGTTTCTAGACGAGCAGTATCCCGGTTTACGAATCACCAAGTTTTCTAACAACTGATGATAGTAAGGATTCATCGGAACACGTCTCACAGACTTCCGTTTTACTCAAAAGGTTGATCAACTAGGGAAACATGCTTCAGACATTCATTTACTAAACCAACGCATTCATATTATAAAAACTCAAATAGTATTCAAACAGTCCGGTTAGAATAAGCTTGGAAACATTGTTGTTGACTTATTCTATGCAATACCTTTCAAACGGCAGTCTTTTTTCGTAATTTCTCTGAACATATTCTTGCAATTCCTGTTGTGTACGTCCAGTATATCTATAAAAAAAGGAAGAATAAACTAATTAGAAGGAAGTGTGTCATATAAATTTCTAATAAGGAATGGCAAACAAATGTGTAGGAGTTATAAATGTACCCACGAACAGATCCTGATGAATATTAATTTAGTCTGCGGTTAATAGAAATTATAATGTGAAGTCTGTACTGAGTAGTTGGACACCACAAATCAGTCAGTGATACTTGCTAGTCAGACTAAGGTGTTATAAACACCGGTAAGCCATTTCACTTTCTTGTGGCCGGGCTTATCAACTGCATACCCAGTTTGACTGAGGTTAAACAGCTGAATCAGTTGAAACCACCCAAATTCTAGTTAGAGACTTATAGAGGAATTTTGTTCTCGCTACATATGAAAAACCGTACTTTGTTAATATGGTGTTTAACAGGTTTGGAAAACTCGAATTTGCTAATTTCCTCACAAATCAGTAGATAGAGACAAAAATTTATAGGCGAAACTTTTTTTGGTCAATAAAGTATAATGCAACTATGTAGAAATATGTGGGTGGTGAAAAGATTCCACATATATTTTTTTATGACAATCAGACAATCCATTAAAACGTAAATTTACAAAAAAAACCTCTAAAAGACATCAAACTTGAAAAATATCTGTGATCAAATCAAGAATAAACATAACTGTAGGGTAAATGAGGCTCACATTTTCTATTTCATTGCCTTTCATCAGCTGCTAAAAGCCCGAAAATTGACGTAGGCAATTATAAATGCAATAATATATTTTCTATAATTTGGTCTGTAAGGGTTTGTTATGTTTTTACGAGTTGATCACGGACTGATATCAGTTAGAGAACCATTGAAAACCAGGGAGTGCTGGACAGCTGCTGTTTCAGTGGTTCTCTAACTGATATCAGTTCGTAATCAACTCGTAAAAACATAACAAACCCTTACAAACCAAACTATAGAAAATTAATCTGATGCTCGCTACTGACTTGCTACAGGATGGAGTTTCCTGGAGTTCTAGTGAGAAGTGGTGACCAGTGAGGTCCAGTTAGATGTCACGTTTGTGGATGGATGTCCCACCAGCGACAATGGTTGGGGATGCGCTAAATCACGAATTGGTAGAAGTTAGAAGTCATGAGCCATTGAATCGGGCCCCAGTGGCTGAATGGTATACGAGCTTGCCTTGTACCAGGAAGGTCCTGGGTTCGAATCCCAGTGGGTGCGTACTGCCGATGATTCCCAAACTAGGATGAAACAGCAGCTGTCCAGTACACCCTGGTTTTCAATGGTTCTCTAACTGATATCATTCCGTGATCAACTCGCAATAACATATAACATACTTCAAAAATTATTTCAGCTGAAAGGGCATAGTTGGCAAACAAGAAATATATATACAGAATGGTTAATAATCTAACAGTCAGACTGTCCTTATGCATAATGTGTCGGAAAATTCGATAGGAGATGGTAGAAGTAAGAAGAAATAAAAAATAGTAGTGAAATTATTGCGTAAACAGACAATTGAGAAAATAGGAAGATTAGTAGTGACTTCGGGTAAATGAGTTATATTCAAAAGTACTGTGACTCAACAGAAAACATAGACACAAAATAGAGACATTCAGTTACTAGGATAGTGCAAGATTATTGACAGTATCTTCCTATAAACAGAAATTAAATTGAAATGGTTTGGTAGCAATGGTTTATGAAAATAGAAGTAACTGAAGTTTCTTCTGTATATTAATTATTCTGTTGGCTTGACTGATTTCGACTGTATGTTCCTTGTCAGTCAGGTGTCATCTGAGTTGAAATAATTTTTGAAGTATGTTATATGTTTATACTTACATTAACTTATGTCAGTTTTAGGCTGTTAGCGGCTGAAGAATAACCGTAAGATAAAAACCGAGCTCTTCTTACCCTGCGAATACGTTTGTTCTCGCTTTATTCAGATTAAGCAAGGGAACTGTATGCATGAAATTCTTGAAAAATTTCGCTTATCTGAACTTAAGACAGCATCATTAGTTAAATGAAAATTACTTAATTGAGGAAATTGGTAAAACTGAGTTACTTCACACGTATAGAAGCATACTGAATAAGGGAAATTTTTTTCGGCCAGAATGTGTGGAATTCAAATACATATCCCCTCCCAAAGATGAAAGAACGGGAATTGTACATCAATAGCTGAATGTGGCATATAAACGTTTGATTAAGATTCTCTAAGGTTAGGACAGCTTAGCAACACGACGACTGTACTTATCTACGAAATTATTACGTGAATAAGAAGCATCCCCTTATTGTATATTATGGAAGTGATCTGGAGGCACTATTTGGTACCAGTCTTGTTACTCTCTGAAGCTAAACTTTAGGAAGAAGATGTTTTTGTGTCAGAGCATAGAATCTCATATATTTTCTTCAGAATCTATCTCTTCAACTGAAATGAGAGAAAATCTTTTTTTCAAAGAGTTATCATAGTCCAAAACATCTGCGGATAATTTAAAAGTCTGCAAAATAAGAGTGTGCATTTATTCTGAATTTCTTAATGAATGTTTGTTAAGAAGTTGAAACCAGATTCAGGAATGTGACTAAGATTTAAAAGAATAGCGTGTCACTATATCACAGTGGTTTTTTATAGATCATTTAGATTTGAATAGAATGATAGTATGTTTACTAAACATCCTAAACTAATATACAAGTCCAATAAAGCGTTTCACAATAAGCTGTTAACAAATGATTAACAAAATAAATATATTGCTTTGTCTGTGGCGACATCTGGACTATTGGAAAAATGTATTGTCCAGATATATTGACCCAAAGACTTCTAATTCTTCAGTGTTTTGGGCAGTTGCGAAAACATATAATACAAAGGTGAATGGACTAATAACAAGTGCAATGTAATGTTGCTCTAAACTTGCTAAAACTAGTTGTTATTTCACTCAGTGCACGAGTACTTCGATTATGTAAGGAATCTCTCAGTGGTCATTGAGTTGTAAAATTGTTATTATTATTATTGTTTCCCTTCAGTCCTAGAGGAACATAAGGCTTCAGCAGGGCGTCTCCATTGTGTTCGATTCTCTGCCAACGTTTTCACCTGGCTCCACTTCTGCCAAAATGCGTTAATTTCCTCTTCGCATCACTTCTCCAATGTCACCCTCACACTGACGACCAACTCTCCACTTCCTATTCGGGTTCCACTCGAGCAATGGCCTGGTGTGTGATGTTACTTGATGATCTTCCCAGAGTACGGGCAATCCACCTCCGTTTCTTCCTGCATATTTGTTGCACAATTGATTCTTGGTTGGCTCGTTCCTAGAGATCCCTGTTTCTGATCTTTTCCAGCCACCTGATCTTGAGTATTGAGCGAAGACAGCTGTTGATGAAGGTCTGTTGTTTGTTCGAAGTGCTCTTCGTGAAGCGGCGTGATGTCTCTGATCGTATAGTAAGTGGCACTGACTTCACATTGGAGTTGAAAATCCGCATCTTATTTTTCATGCCGAGTGGTGTTGATCCTAACACGGACTTAAGAGAAATGAAAGCTTGCCTTGTTTTTCCGATCCTCGCTTTGATATCCTCGTCAGTTCCACCTGTAGTTGAAACGATGATTCCCAGGTAGGTAGGTAAAGGAGGTTGCTTCCTTCCCATTTCTCCCATTTATGCTGATTGTTGTCTGTTGTTACTGCTGTTGCTGTTAGCCAGGAATCTCCATCAACTCTGTTTTCCCTATGTTCACCTGAAGTGATGTCCTATCTTCTCTGGATGCTTCTACTGCCACTTGCATACCTTCCAGTTTGTGGAAAATCAGGCATATATCATCGGAGATGTTCAGATCCTCCAATTGTTTTGTATTAGTCTATTTTATGCCTGTTTACTTGTTGGCCGCTGCCTGTCGCATTACCCAGTCTACCACAATCAGGAAAATCATTGAAGATAGTAGGCAGCCTTGTCTTACTCTCGTCTTCACTTCGAAGGAATCCGTGAGTTTCCCTCTGTAGATTACTTGGCATGCAGCGTTGTCGAACAACCGTTGGATGAGGTGCAAACATGTTGGCGGCACCCCGTAGTGGCGAAGTGGTTTCCAAATCACCTCTCGACCGACGCTGCACTATTGAAGGCCTTTTAAAAGTCAATGAAGTTGATGTAGAGAGCTGACCACCATTCCAAGCTTTGTTCAATGATGATGCGTAGTGTTGCGGTTTGATCGATGCATGACTTATTTATCCTGAATCCAGCCTGTTACGGTCAATGGTTTTCATTCAGGGCGTGTTTGATTCTCTCCAGGATGATGCGGCTTAGCATTTTGCTTGGGATAGACAGGAACACAATACCGCGCCAGTTCTTTCATCGACTTAAGTCTCCCTTCTTTGGCAGTTTGAATAAGTAGTCTTGCTTCCAATCCGCAGGTACCTTGCACTTTTTCTACACCTTCTCCAGTAGCGGTGTCATCAAGTCCGCTGATGTCTCTGGGTCCATTTTCAATACCTCTGCTGGGATTACGCCTGGTCCTGCTGCTTTTCCAGTTTTTTAGCATCTTTATTGCCTTCAGGACTTCTGTTCTCCTCGGGGGGTTGATGTTCACTGGTAATTCTGCTTCCGTTGTTGGTATTGTTGGGCGCGTTGTAGGTGGCGGTCGGTTTAGTAGTCTTTTGAAGTGTTCAGCCCAGTGTTTCCTTTGCTCCACTTCTTTGGTGATTGACTTTCCATTGTCATTCTTCACTGGTTTAATTTGTGTTGAACGTTTCCCCGATAGGAACTTAGTTGTTTGGTAGAGTATTGCGAGGTCTCCTCTGCCTGCAACTTGTTCTGCTTCACTTGCCATGGCCTCGTAATATTCTCTTTTGTCTTCCCTGGCACTTTTCTTTACTCTTTTGTTCCCTTTATTCCGCGCTTATTTCCGGCCACGAAAGTAGGCAAGGTTTAGGACAGCATCAGTCAGGAATCAAACCACGGAGCACTTATGTGGTTGGCGAGTAATCTACTGATGAACCACTGACGCTCACTGTTTAACATAGATTTCATTATGAACCAATATCAGTCCGAAAATCATTAAAAAACCAGGAAGTACTGGAGAGCTACTTCTTTTTAGTGTACCACCCTTCAACAGTGTGTAGCCATGATCCGACTAAGGATCGAACCCAAGAGCTTCTCAATAGAGGTTAAGCTTGTTGATATTTCAACCATTTTAGAGTCAGCCAAAACAGACTGTGGAGAACAGAATGAAATGTAGCTGTGCTGCTGAACCCTTATGTTCCATTCGGAATCCAGGGGAATAATAGTGATAATGTTTAATCTTTTTAAATCGTTGAGTAATGCTAAATTTTGGTTTGTTGTTTCTACGGTGTATTTTTCTGTCAGCACACTTAAACCGCCAAAGGTGAGATTTAAAACCGAAACATTTGAACACAAGCCGCCCTCTGATGAAACAGTTACGTTTCTTTCAGCTTGTAGAAAGATATGCTCGTTAGCAGTGGACATTTTCTGTAAGATTACTTAGAATGGTAATTTATCTTTTAAAAATATATTTGATATCATTTCTAGGAAATAAATAAAACAAGTCAAATCTTTCTAATCTATTTGCTTATGTCTGTTATGTTGATATTAAAAATGTTCTTCCGTTGATAAGGGAGGCAAAACAGCATATGCTGATATATATATATATATATATACTCAAGTAATTAAATAACCGAATTTCTCCAGACAATAATTTTTATTCATAGCCAATTAAAATGGATGAGACTATCAGTGACGTAAAAAGTGTACATTGGCTCATTGGCAAACGTCATAAAGGAGGACAACAAATATACAGAACAAGATAATATATAAAAGCCTCTAGAATAAGTATTTACAGTTGACCTATCGTAACAAGGAAGGTGCAATCGAACACTCTGCTGATCTCGGCGAAGACATTCAGTGTGATTAAACAAGCCATCAATAATTTTAAAAGTTTGTTTCAATCTACGGTAAAAATAGTACCTGGTTAAAGAGTTTAACGTATTGCAGCAAAAAGCTAGATGGACCTTGATACTGTAATCGAGTATAAATTTATGTTACTTCAGTTTATTTAATGGGGTATACAGAGATAGACTATTGCTAAAAGCAGTATCCAGTTAATTATACCAGATAACGATGTGCTCTATCAAATAAACTTGTCTTAAATGAAATGTGTCATAAGAGATCTAGAAATAAAACATATACATACTAAAATAGAAGAAAGGATGGTTCATACTGAAAGGTAATTAGCAGTATAAAATGCATCTAAGAAGAACTGGAGGAGTTCTGTACATTTATTGAATGTCAATAACCAGTTAAAAATTGAAAAGATTATTCGTGTAATTACGACTAAGCTGAAAAAGTATTGAAGTGTTAGTTAGTTAGTTAGCCAAGAAAAACAACACAAGTAGAAGGTAGTAGGCCACACCAAATATATAAAACTATATGTAGATGTCGAATTAAGCAACTAAATTTATGTCAGCTCATTTGAATAACACAATAACATTGTCGAATAGGCGGGATAACATGTAGGCAATAGTTAAAACATTTCGCTGGTTGTGAAGAAAACCAACTCAGTACTTACAATAATAGAGAAAATCCATTTCAAAGAATGATGAAGAATATTGTTTTTGCTGACCCACTGTGCATTATTATACTACGGTAAGTATTTCATCACTGCACTAAATGACTTCATAATTTATTTATGAACTGTGTAATTATAAAGTATTAATTTCAACGTAGATTTCTTCACGAACCAGCACCACCTAGAGACCACTGAAAGTCAGGACACAGTGGACAGATGTATCGTCCCAGATCTAGGACTCCTCAACGATGCGTAGCCAAAACCTCATCAAAGATTGAACCAGAGACCTTCAGATTATGAGGCCAAGCCAGTTGACCGTTTAGTTACTTGGATGGGAATTCAATGACCCGTCAATTCTAATTTCTGCCAATTTGTGAAATAACGCTACCCTCAACTAATACCTTCTATGAGCATCGTCTTGACCTGGTGGATGCTACCAGCCCCCAATTTCTTAGTACAGCTTGAAAACATCCATCCAGCAGCCAACAATGAGCTAGAGATCGGCACTTAGATTACAGGTTCCTATAGGGAATAGCTGTGCTCTCTGGTTTTCAGTAATCTCTAATTGATGTTAGTTTTCGATGTAATCTACACTGAAATTAATCCTAATTGCCACACAAAATATCTCAATCTAAATATAAAGTATTCAATGAATTATTATACCACTTGACGATTTAAATAACTATTATTGGAAAATATAGTATGATGCCTTCTCAATAGGGTAGCTGTATCTTGTAATATAAGATAGCTATTTTCATTAAAACTGCAAAACTGAATACGATCATAGCAATCAGTTCAGATTAGAAATGCCTGATATAAATAAAATGACTGAAAGTAACGTCTTAAAGTAGCGTTAAGTATTCTGAACTTAACTCACCTTTCAGAAGTTAATTGATGGATGGTGACTAGCAGTGGAATCCAGGATGCACATTTCGTCCTCTTTAAGACCCGTCATCCCCACCGAGTCACTGGGGAATGCAGATACATCCAGATGACGAGTCCCAAATAGGACGAAATGCGTTTCCTGGATTCCACTGATAGTCACCATCCACCAATTAACTTCTAATTATATGTCCATACATCGTCGAAGAATCTGCACAAGAAGCCAACATGTCAACCTGAGACCAAGCACTTCGGTTCAATCAATCAACGGGAAAATCTAAAGTTAAGTTAAATTCACTCAACTTTTGCTCAGATAAACTTTCCAGGAATGGAGGAGAGAAACTGTCACACCACAACAGGAAACTGAAGATGGAATTCAAGCGAAAATCATTTAAATTGTCAAATCCCAATGACTTATAACACATCTAAAATAGTAGTAGTCTAAATCGCCCTAACCCTACACATCACTCTGTTACAAACTGAATATCTCAGTGCAGTTAACAGAGTAGAAATTCCATGTAATTAAGTTTGAGGAACTCAGCTGCTATATGCTTGCAAATATTCAACATGGCTGTTGAACTGGCCATATCCAAATCACTCCAAAAGTCAATTCATATAAATTACGTCACATTTGAAAGTAGCTTTATCCAAATAATTATGAGAGTACTAAACGGTAAATGTGTAAACTATCAGTTCACAATGTATTACTTTGTCCAAATTTAATCACAATGACACTCTGATGACCAACCTTGTACCTCACTAATAATTCAAAAATAAATATGGCAAAAGTAATCCCTTACAATATATTAAAAATTCATTTTGCGGTAAAAGTTTTAAGCGAACAACGATAGAAACTAGAGGATTCATCATGACTGAAATTTGACGAATTCAATAAATCCCTGCTTTGTTAATATCATTCGTTCACGTAAAAACACTTTAAATCAAGTTCAATTTATAATAGGCACCTTTTTCCAATGTAATGTCCAGAAAGTTCTAGAACAAAAGTATGGCATTTATGAGTAATATTTTGTCAGAAATACTTCGAGGACATTTAAAGCTACTGTACAAATAATGTGAAATATTTCACGAAGTTACTTAAAAGGTACACACTATGGCTTATTCATTATATAATGTTACCACAAGTAAAAATTTTGAAATAACTGATAATAAGTTTTAATAAATGCATCCCCCCCCTCAGTGCAGCTAAATACAGGTGTTCAATATTAGATCACCTGGTCATAAGAGGTCATAAAGCTAGTATTGAATGATTTTTTTTCTATCATCTACTGAGTACCAGACAGGTCCCCAAAGGCTCTACGTACTGAATACTCCAAACAGCGGAGAATATTGCGATTCTCTTCAAACAACCAGAGTTCTCTCTGCAAAAGAAACGGGTTCAGCCACTATAGTTAACCCAGCCTGCTGAGGAACCTATAACTTCATAAATTCTGTGTAATTTAATTTAATTGATATCTAATTGGGTTTTATATTATTGCATATTATCGTGTACAGATGATTCGGGACTGCAATCTACTGATATTAAAGATTTGATGTTATTAAAAACACTTACATTATCACTAACATTAATTCTTTTATTATAATGAACATATAACTAAAGAGTGAGGATGAAGTTATCGAAAAGAATATTCTTTGTTGACTGACCAATCTTTTCAGGATTTCAAATAAATACGTCACTGGACATTAAAAAAAAAAGATTTACCTAAATGATGATCCACTCGACGTTAAACGTGAACGTTTCTGTGATTGACGATCGGGATAAGTACATCGAAAGAAGGTATGATGTTCAATAGACTTCTTCCAGAACTGTTTGCATTCATCACGTGAATCAAATATAAATTCAATTGTATCCTGTCAATAGTTAAAGTGAGAAAAAAGGATTTTAGATAGTATTTTCATGCATCAGCTATATATATATGTATATATATATATAGTGTATTCTCCTATGATAGGTGGTATTTTGTTATATATTTGAATTATTGATAATGTTAAGGTGGTAAGAAAATAATGAATTCAAAGTAAAAGGTGGAAGATTTTTAAATTACTGCTGTTGATTGGACTGTCACTGCAAATAAGGTATAATTACATTGACGTAGAATTGTTGCTAGCTTGAAAGTTGTGTAGCAGAATAATCGATCTGAAAATCACTCCATGAGCTATCTATTTACAACACTGATAATTATTTAGATATTTTAACACACTTTCTAATTACTCCCCTTTTTTTCCCATATACTGTGTATCACGGTCCCAGTGTTTGCATATCTTCTTGTGACTCAATCCTCATTAGTTTTTGTTTCTAGTTAATCCCAAATTTTAATGCTTCTTTTGGTTGCTGTGTGATGCGATTGATGATGGGTTGTTTTACAACTCCAGTTTTGTTTGAGTGAGGTCAAAGCTACTCCGTAAAGTGACCTTTACACCTTGGACTGTCTATAAGATACATGTTTCTTGCTTCCTGAAGACAAAGTTTTGATCTTCATACGTTTATTCCCCTTTATGAATTTGAATAAAGCAAGGATAATAGCTTTCGCAGAATAATATGGTCCCATCATTTATTTCGTTGGCTTCTCATCAGCTGCCTGCTTACAGCCCAATTAAATTATTGAATTCATGTACAGATGAGAGAGGGTAAAGTCATCCAGTTACCAATTATCATCTCTTCCATTTGATTACTTAATTTTTGGCTCTTACCTCACTCTCCTTTGATATAGTGTAATTTTGCTTGTCTCTTGTTTCTAGGATTTGAGTTGAACTCAGTACATTGTTACCCAATATATTAGCTGCTCATCATCTTAAGCATCTCTCGTCTTTAATAAGTAACTCCTTTAACATTGTTTGCATACATTTACTTTTTTTAAACTTGAACTCCCTGTGCAAAAACTATATAAGCGTAATTTTCTGAGCACTGTTCACTAAGTCCAGAACCTCCTATCAACTGACATCATGAAAAATTTGCAAGTACGTTAACATTTCTGTAGATGAACCTAATAATTATTTTTAGACTGTTAGAAGCTGACGAGAAGCCAACGAAATAAATGACGGTGCCATATTATTCTGCAAAAACTACTGTTCTTGCTTTTCTCAAAAGTTTTGATCATACCTTGTTAGGAGTATTCTTATTAATTCTCAGATAATTTAGACGTTTGCTTTGTCAATTAGTTTTGTAATGCAGTACGTATATGACACCGAAGAAACTGCATAGCTTCAGGACAGTATTGTTGAAGTAGTTTCGTATTTTTTATATGTTGTTACTGTTGAATAGTATCCGAGATTACATTACTCAAATTGTGACTCGCAGAAGTTTGGTAAGCTATACAGAGGATCGCATCGAGTGATTCTTGCATTTAGACGGAAATACTTGATGTTTGGTAGTCAAAACTTGTGTAACAGAAAGGAAAAGTAAACCAGATTGTCCATACATCATGTTTTTCGTCAAGGTGATTTTGTCTACACATGAAATTTTACCAAAATATGAAGGGTAAATTAAACTGTAATTATGTTTTGTTTATACACACTTGGCTCAAGTCAGTTGAACAATAAGTTATCTCTGCAAATATCATCATCTTTTGATATTTTTTTTCAAAATATGCAACGTATAAATGACTGGGCAGATGATTCACTGCATTCAGTCGTAAAACTAATCATGCTCTTTCTAGCTAAACTTTGTTTCTATACACACACATATATACGCAACTCTGTTTTTGTTTTCAAGTCAAACTGTCTGATTGTTCTATAAATAGTCAATGTTTGTAACTCTTAATTAGTTAAATCATTCCGGACTAATGTTACTTTTACTTCCTACCAATTACTCCTTGTGATCGTGGAAAAGTATGTTCAAATCTTTAATGTAATGTAATCCATATTTTTATCGTTCAGGTTGTAACCAGTCGAGAAGAATCCTCGAAATAATAAAAGATGAGCTCATATTATCCTCGTACAATTGTTGTCCTTGCTTTGTTCAAGTATAATTAATCATTGGAGTGGAACCCTCATCACACGTGATTTACAGAAATGAACACAAGAATTACTTGTCATAACATATGCTATACTTATTTAATAGGGAGCAGGTTAGTTCTTCTGTCTCTGGTAAATGAATCAGATACTTTTTTTCTACTGTCATTAGAAGATTATCAGCTACCAGAAATACTTCAGTCTTTCTCGTTAGACTATTTAAATAATACATCACACTGTCATGGATCTTTTTTACCGAATTACGTCTTTATTGCTGATGATCAAGTCAAAGTAATCACACAGCTGTCGGATTTCTTTTCTCATTTGTTTTAGGCTTCAAGTTTTTATGATAGACTTTGTTGCTCTGTTGATTCATTGAAGTGTATAGTTGTCAATTTATCACATAGTAGAGTTCGAGTAAAGATCAGTGGGCTTTTTTTTCTTTCTACATTACTCATTATCATACTGGGTAATATTCACTGAATTATATTTTTCTGATGTCCTGAATGACTATTATGAACTATCTAAACTTATTCATTCAAGTTTATATTCATCGTATGATATTTAGTAGATTAAATTATTTTACTTCGTGAACTTCATATCATTATTAATCCCATAAAGTTTGTATTAAGTCAATATTTTGCAGCTGACACACTGCAGTGATCTTAGTCATGAAATTAATTCTACGTAAAGCTTTAATATCACCTCTTACAATGCTTTTACCACTCAGCTATATTGTAAATATGTCCCCTAAACAATCGATCAGATCACGGGAAACAGCCTTAGTTTAACAGGTCAGTCATTGATCTGGTCCTTTTACTTAGTTTGCTAACTGCTAGTCTGACAATCTGAAGACTGCTAATTCAAATAATCCTGTGACTTAGATATTTAAAAAAAAGATTTGTAATCGTCGCTGCATCACAATCATCTTGTTGTTTGACTTCCTCTTGAAATCACACATAAATTTTGCATATCGTCAGGAAACCGAAACAATTTACTGTACTACCCTGAAACGTTAAAAAACACCAAAGTTTACAACCACCTTATTTTAAGATATACGGATAAATAGACAGTCCATCAGAGATACTGGTTTCAGTCCTTTTCACTTTTTTGTTTGTAAATTCATTTTTGCATAAAGCAAGAACATACTGTGCTGGACAATTTCGTTGGTCCATCTCAGCCACAAACAACCATAAACGATTTAAAATCAACATAAGAAATATTTAAATACTTCAGTTATTGATCATAAAGGTGAAGGACATTAATAAATAGCACAATGCAGAGGAATAAAAGTTGAACAGAGGTGTAAAATCAGATAATTTAGTTCGATCAGTCAAATCATTTGACCCAAACGTATGTGTGTTGTCGATTTAATGCCACTGTTCAGTTTGTGAAACTCATACGTAACTATAAAACATTTTCCATTTCTATGCATGCTAACGACCTTTACAAGGACTTTATTCCTTTCCACTGCGCTATTTGATCACGTGATGTCAATATCCATCACCTCTGAAGCCAATAACCAAAGTATCTGAATACTGTGTATATTGATATTAAATTGTTTATGGTCGTATGCAGCTGAAAGAACCACCAAAATATTGTTATTCACTTGTGTTCCGAATGGAACACAGGGCTTCATCAGCACATCCCTATTTCATCCTTTTTACTGAAGTCCTCTGTAGCTGCCTACACTATTACCCATAGGCTCTCATTTCCTTCATGTAACTCTCGGACACCAACTCGTCATTGCCGATTGGGACAACTGGCGCATTATGTTGCTCAGCGGTCTTCTCAGCGTGTGTTCAACCAATCTCCATTTTCTTCAGCATGTTTGTTCGGCAATAGGTTCTTAGCTGGTTCATTATCCAAGTTCCCTGTAGCTTAACACTTCTGGTCATGTGATCTTCAGTATGAGGTAAAGGCAGCTGTGGATGAAAATCGGAAACAGAATTTTAGAAATGCTTTTGGTGACGCACTCACCAAATCTATGAAGCACATAGAATAAATGACCCAACAGTGGTGTTGAAATTCTGAATTTTGTCCTTTATTCTGAGAGGAGCGGATTTCGACACTGATTTTAGAGTGATAAAGGTTTGTCCTGCTTTCCCAATGCTGCCTTTGACATCCGAATATGTTACGCCTATATGTGAAACGATGTTGCTTAGGTAAGTGAAAGTGGTGACTTCATTTCGATTTTCCCCAACGGTCGGTGACCGATTTTCTCGGTTGAGAGTCAGTTACCTTCAACACCTCTGTCTTCTCCGTATTCACATGTAATTGTTTTTTCGCTGCTTCTTCTACTAACTTCCTGGTTTTCCCGTGTAAATCTTTCAGTTTGTGTGACATAAGACCTTCGCGAAGTCCACGTCTTCTATAGTCTTCTTGTAGGTCCAAAGTATGTCTGTCTTCTCGCTGTTCACGGTGTGACGCCTGATCCAGTCCATTACAATCAGGAATGTCATCTGTGACAACAGGAAGGCTTGTCTTTCTCCTGTCTTCACTCCAAAAGTGTAGCTTAGTTTTCCACTTTGGATCACTTGAGATATGTCATCATCATGTAGCTGTTGTATGTTGTCGATAAAGGTTTAGCAAGGTAATAATTGTACAGACTTTATGTCCCATCATTGTTTTTTGTCTAATTTACAGCTTTCAGTACTGTTTGAATGCGGATGGGGGAAATTACTAACTCTGCTTAAGACTACCCAGTATTTACGGTAATTTTCACTGCACTGTATTTAACTGTGCCCGATGAAAAGTTGCTGATAACTAACATTTAGATAATTAAGTACCAACCATAAAATAGAATCGTTTCAAACATTTCAAAAGCCAACAGTTGGAACGAAAAAATACAGCTACTGAAATGGTGACTTACATAAACATCTGCATGCAGTTTGACAAGAAATCTCTTCCGTTTGAAGCTTAGTTTACGTATTTTTGCCCAAGAGAAAGTGTTGACTTTTATCAAATTTTGAAATACCAACAGACCAACGTGAGTGACAGCTAAATTGAGTCCTAAACCCTCATGATCCTACGATTAAATTAAGCAAGAAAGGATGAGTTGATCTTAAAAAAGTGGACAAAGACGTTCATTAAAGTATAAGAATTTAAGTATTTAAATGCGTTTTTGTAAGCGAACACTGCATCACTTTATAAATCACTCCATATTATCATCATTTTTCTAGTTTTTGAGATAACTAGTATTATTCTTTCACAGTCAGACCAGAATGCTAACTAGTGTTCGTGACATTGCAAAATATTTTTAGTGAAATGATACACTGTTGTCTCAAGCAGTAAGTATACCACGCTCCCCTTGGGACACGCATCATTATTTGTAGAAATCAGGTTGTAGAGTCAAGCCGTCCTACCTTACATCAGTGAACGATGAGACACTGGTCAGGCACAACCTAGTAGTAACTTTCTGACATCGTGCTATAGTAGAACAGTTAGACAGCTTTATGAATTCAACCGACTGACGTCTAAGAAATATTCTTCAATTATAATAACTATTATGAAATAAAATGAAAGATCTTGAAAGCTTGTTTCACAAAAATAATGAGGTTATTTAAGGCCGATTCCCTGCTTGAAGTGAATGAATAAGTAATTTCAGAAATTCACTGCAAAAAGTCATCAGTCTCTGTATCTCATGAGGCATGACAGACGGATGTTTTCAGGTTGAAAAATAAGATAGACCATTCAATCAAACAGCTGAATGCACTACTAACTGAACCATAAATATATCCTACAGATAAGTACATAGGAGAAAAAAAGATAGCTGCACTGAATATAAAAATCAGATAAATTATTCTGGGAACTGTAATACTCTTTGTTATGGAGCATCCAAAAGTTTTATGTCTAAAAGTAAATTTCAAAATTGACTTATAGCTTCTTTCAATTTGCATTTATTGAAACACTAGCAACTGGAGTTTTATCAGTATTTTTAAAATGTAGACAAATGGATAATCTCCCAGCTATTCCTTTAATTGTTCTTTCATTTCTTCGCTTTACGAGTGGAACATAAATTTTTCAGTAGCAGTGGTGTTGTTTTCATGGGATGAGGTTGCTAGACACATGCCCAGTCCATCCTCTTTACTGAAATTACTGACAGATAAGGAAGGTTCAGGAGTGTGTCAGCTGGGAATTGAACTCGGACCATGTGGGTAGTTGGCAAGCATACTGTCACTGAACCACCGACTTACTATCGCTTTAGTAGTGAAGCGTTTCAGTGGCAATTAAAGTTCAGTCTTCACCCAGAGTTCAAACACAAATGTTTAATCCATATAATTAATATGATTTAATTTCAGATTAACCTCCTTCAAAGGAGAGGTATTTATAACCTCGATGCCAGAAAGACAACAGAAGGTACAAAAGAAGTAAACAATATTTGTTTATAAAGGTTTTCAAAATACTGTATGCATATATTGGTAAGTGCATAAAAAAATGCATAATGATTACAGGTAATATAAAAAAATAATCATGATATTAATAAACTGCTGACACAGCGGATTATTGAGAGAATAATAATAGCAGTAGTACATCTATTTTTAGCATAATTCTGCTATCAAATCGAATGATGTGGAATGAACTGGAAGTAAACGAATATTAATTTGTGTAATTTTGTATTTCCCGTTTACTGATAAAACTGAACCTAAATATTCAGTCTCCGTTGGTATGTTGGCTCTTAGTGTGGACGCTTCTACAGTGTCTGAAAATGGAGGATGACAAGTCCCAAATGGAAAGAAATGCGCGTTCTGAATTCCACCGCTAGTTATCATTCAACAAATAAAAAAACTAAATCCAAGTGCTTATTTCTTACCTGTTAGGCGTATGGTGTGATTAGTATGTTTATAGGAAATAGACAGGTTGCTGATTAATCGTAGAAGAGATCACTATTAGCAATTCGTCTACTTCTGGTGTATATAATCATTGGATAGTGCTATAAAGCTATTAATATAATTTCGTGTGGATTTGGCATGCAAATCCTCTGAATAATATAATTAGGTTAGCTAGATAGACATCGATGAAGTATTAAAGTGAGTAGTGACTTGAAAAAGTCATCTGTGGAATATAAGCTCGCCGGTCGAGAATAATTCAGTGCTTATAAGTCCTAAATGAAGGTGGATTAACCTGTTGGCCTGTATGTAAACTAAACACCGTAGTAATGTACTGATGTTTTCCTTCTATAAATATACCGCACTTTTAATCGTTCCCTCTCTGTACATTTTTTCTAGAGATGCCAGATCAAACGTAAAATGCTGCCTGACGAGTTTTACAAGTAAACAGAAAACGTTAGAACAGTCTCTATAGTATTTAATTCTGTATGCAGTAAAGTATAAAATGAATCAAATTTAACAGTCAACTGACAGAGGGCTCCAAAATGCATTCAACTTACACGAGCAAAGTGTAAGCGTACACCGTAGAATTCAATTTTTCTAGCTGTGTCCAGTAGGGCGAAATCCGCTTCTGTTGGGGATAAACCACTATTTGCAGAAGAAAAAATAAAGTAGCCGGAAAATTCACATAAATAGATGGTGAAATAACTGAAGCAAAGCTAGCAGATGCCTATTACACTTGACCCTTAATACTTGTAATGCGCGTATTAAACGAAACGGCGTTAATAATCAAAAAACAACTCTTTTTTTACTAATTGAATTCCTGTAAAAAAGCATACTTTCATCATCCTAATCTTTTATTATGCCTAAAAACACTGAAAGATTTTTAGTTCTATTTTCAAATGCGTAAATTTCAGTGAAAAGCTCTTTCCAGTAGGCTATTTTCGTTTCACAGTTTAAATATCAATAAAATTTTCGCTTTTAGTTTCTGAAACACACCGAGTGATACAAAGTTTTATTCTTTGAGTGTACACAGAGTCAGGAACTGTCTTAGCACGACTGTATACATTACATTCACACAGACAGTGAGGCTGCCTACGAAATAAGTATTAGCAGATCCGTTTATTTATTGTAATAAAGAAAATTAGTCTACTATGTTTTATATTGTGGCTGACCGAATTGTCAAGAATTGTAGGTTGGAGGCATTTAATTAGTATTAAAGTGGATTTCGTCACTTACTTGTAATTCTTTCTTTTCCACCACAGATGTTAATCATCAGCTTAATTAGGTAACGTATGCAGATATTTTGCATATCAATAATAAAATATCATGAAGCTGTGCTCTGCTGACAGGAAGCGACGAAATAATATGATACCATATTATCCTGCTCAATTTATTGTTTTTGTTCCTGTCAAGTCCACCAGGAGCAAATATAATGTGTGAATAGTCAGTTCCTAATGATTCTAAGCTTTTGTTTGCTTAACTCTTAAAATATTTCTAAAACTCAAAAAGTTGTTTACTAAATACAAAACACTTGCTGATGTCACGCTTTTTAACATGTAACTCTTAATTTTCATTACTGATTATTTACAATACTTAGATAAGTTTCCTTAAAAAAAAAAATTTACATGAGTAGAGGGTGCGTCGGTGGAATAGTGGTTAGGACGCTCGCCGACCATGCATATGGCTCGGGGTTCGATTCTCGGCCGACACACTCCTTACCTCGCTAAGCCAGAAATAATGCTGGTGAAGTGGAAAGGCTGGGCATGAGGCTAGCGACCCCATCCTGTAAAATAAACACTGCTACAGAAACTTCAAGCCACTAGCTTGATGCCCTATGTTCCACTGGGGAACGTGAAGGAAACAAAAAAAAAACATCAGTAGAGCATTGTGACCAGAGTTATAGAAAGTTTCAAGCAATGTTAAGGCACAAACTAACTCCTTTTTTATTACTAATCTGAGACAAAAAAAAGAAATATTATGATTCAAATTAATCATAGGTTTTATCTTACACATGAGCTTTGTGGAACTCTCTAACTCGACGTAAACGTTCGTCAGTAGGTTCATGCAGTAACTTCAATGGTTTTAAATAGGCAATTGTTCTGTATTCTTCATGAATAAAATCTCCTATTTCAGCTATATTTTTCAACAGTAAAAAATGAAAAAAATAGAAAAGTTACACTGAAATGTATTTATTGCTATGTAGTATGTAAACTGAAACTCTAAAGTCCACATTACATCAGAAAAAGAATTTCGCTGATTCCACTAGTGTAAATTTAAACAGGTTGTTGAAGAAACCATACGGCTATTTCCCTTGACAAATTTGAACAAAGCATGAAGGACACATTATACAGCTCATTATTTCTAAAGTTTAAAGTTGATTGGCCTTATTGTTTCAATTTACAATTACTTCTTATTCTAATGTAACATCAAACACGACCTAAACAAACTGGTTAGCTCTCACGAGGTGTGTGACATAGATGGCACTGAAATAAAAACCAAGTCGGAAAGTAAATACCTAGGCGTCATTCTATCTGCTGATCTCTCCTGGTCACCTCATAACTTGACGATTTCTAAGAAAATATTCCGTCCTACCTTCTACATCAAGAAGTTAAGACATTCTGGAATAACCCAACCCTTATTCCTACAATTCGTTAACTCTCGCATTCTGCCTATTATTCTCCATTGTTCCCCTTAGTTTTTCCCGGGCTATTGAAGAAAGACTATAACATATTACGCAGGATGTTAAAGGTTGTCAGCAGGGTAAGCAACGTGCCACTTAACCAGCTTGTTAATATTCTGGTCGACAGGCACTTGGACTCATGTGAAAAATAGGCCAAATCAATTTTATCTAACTCACACCATCCTCTTCACTCACAACTCTCCCCTTGCATCTCATCAGGCAAAACCAGAAGCCTATATAGAAAGCTATAGGCTCGTAACAGCAAGTACGAAAACTCAACCATACCCTACTTAGCTCGGGTTCTATGCGATAAAGAAAGCATTAGGCGTGAAACATAACTTATTAAATAGTCGGTAGAACAATTTGGATCTCGTCTTTCCAACTCATATCATTTATAGGTACAACATTTTCTTTCTTTCTTTTCCTTTTCTCTTCTTTTGTTTCTCTTTACCTTACAAACTCTACTTAAAATACTATTCTTCGCTCTTTCATACTCTGTATATCTCGACCTATTTGTTACCGCTTACGCCAGTAAATATGCTAGTGTCTACTTTTCTAACACCTTCAAACACTGTTCAACTTAGGCTTTGCTACCAATATGCTAATATGTTGTCAAAACTAACTGAGATTACTTTTAATCTATGTAGAACTTTATTTATTGATAATGTACTAATTGGATGCAATACTTCAGTGAAATGCTGAGAATTCCATTCTGTATCACAAGTACTGTTTTGGAATAAAGCAAATTATTATCATTATTAAAACTTAATTAGAGCCAAAGACTCTTGAAGATATTATCAGAAATATGAAAATTAAGTTAAGAACATAAATAAAATCTACAGGACTATACAATTCTGAAATTGAGACTTGGTTTATTTCAATGATTGTTTTTATGCTACTCATAAGTAGTCCGCTTATCAATGCCATCAAAAGTAATTCTTTATTTTAATAATTTTGATTTCTTGTTGATATTTTTCGATCACATCTCTCCACCTAATATAAACTAGTCTTAGAAAATAGTTTTAATACTCGATTGGGGAAGGCGAGAAAGTCTTAGAAACACATTAAGAGTATATATGGTATCCAGTGGAGACGATAGTTTCCTTAAATTAAATTCAAATAACCAGTACTTCTTGGTCAACACTAATTACAAACTTCAGTCTCAGTGGGTATCTGCAGACACCTAGTCCGAGACACGCAAGTAAACTAAACAGCCATAATTTACCTACAGAGAAGGTTAGTAGAATCTTATCTCTCCATTTGGAACATCAGTGTAAGGACCTTAACAATGTATCAGTCCAACCCTGAAAACTGCTACTAATCTTCAACCAGGTGTTATCTCCCTTCTCCCAATGTAATTTTATGACAGTTCTTCTCAACTCTTGAATGTTTTTCTAAAATACGACGAATTGGAAGAATACACTTTTGTCTAATGCTCTACATTGATGAATGACTAATCAGGTATAGCAAAACAAATGTTTCTAATGGGAGAATTCTTTGGAACAGAAACATAAAGTAAAGCTTAGAAGAACAACAGGACGTCCAAACTCAGTATTCAGTGATCCAGACTTAAATATCGAGGGGATAGTAAGCTGCTTCAGGAACCCCCCTAATGCTTTGTTATAGCCAAAAGGAAATATGATTCAAAATCACTAGTATCACTAATTGCTTTTAGTAAACATTGTGGAATTGAAAAAAATTGTTGTGGACTATAAATTTGTTAGCAGAGTTCTAGGATAAAAATAAACCTGAAAGACCAGGCGTCATAAAAAATCCCCACCTATTAAATCTTCGATAAAATTTGAGAAAAAAAGGCAGTACGTTTTGTTTTCTGGAAAGATGTAATGACAAAGGAGCTTACCTTGAACAATGTATGAGGCAAGTAGTGCAGCTGTATTCTCACTGCATAATAAAGTACCTGTGACCAGGTCACGTTTTATTTGCAAGGCGAATAAATACCTGGAAATATAATTCAAGAAAATCAACAATAAATTTGTGTAGAAACTAATAGCAGACACATATAAGTAGTCCGACTTTAGATTCACTCCCACAGTACATATTTACAAAAACTTAGAGAGTCGAAATATGTGGAATTAGTAAATTAATATAGTCCTATCTTCGAATTTCTCAAGAAAATGACATGTACAGTCTAATGTTATTAAGGAAGAAAAAACAAGGTAGAATCACATTCTGCACCTGTTAATTCAGTTGCAAGTAGGAACTTAAGCAAACACGTGACTACACAAGGTATATTTTTTCATTTCTCTGCGTTCCTAGTGGAATATGGGGCTTCAAGCTAGAGACTTGAAGTTTCTGTAGCAGTGATGATTATTTTTTACAGGATGGGGTTGCTAGCCTCATAAAGTACAATTATATTTCAATGGCTTACACACAATAATAAGTTTTGTTATTGATCATATTTCGAGCAAAATTACTGCCCGTGTTCACACCAATGTTGAAATTGTTTTGTTTTTTAATTCACACATTTATGATTTTCACTCATAAATATAGACCATCTTTTGTTCATTCTTTTTTGTGTATTCAGAATTATATTGTAGGTTGTTGACAGTTGTACTGAGTCATGCCCAACCTTCCCTCTTTACCAGTCTTACTACTGGCTTAGCGAGGTAAAGAAGTGCATCGACTGAGGATCGTACCCCAGACCACCTGCGTGGTCGGCGAGCACTCTACCTCTGTGCAACCGACGCATATTTTTGATAAACATCTAAAAATAACCACAGAAACAGGAATGACGTCATATTTCATTACTTATTTTGTTGACGATCAGCATCGAAATTAATTCGGCAGACAACAGCAAATAATTCTAATGATTTTCTCAAAACCTTTCCTGCTTTCACTTATCTAACCATTGCATCTTTTGCCTTAGGCATATTACGTATGTGATCATCCGGATGTGTCAGTCTCACCTGAAAAAATACTACCAGTTGCATGAAATAACTAATATTGCCCAAAAGAAGCTTAAGACAGTTCAACAGACTCGAAGAAAAATTCCCTTTAGGACACAAAAAGAAAATCAAAACACTGATTCATTGAAGAGTCTCCTTTCAACAAATTTATTATAATGTGAATTGTGAGAAAATAGTAGTTGATTATGTACTTTATAAGATAATTCATGAAGTGTATTTAAAAGGGAGTGTGTAGAAATAGTAGTATTAGTAAGCAATTAAATCACTAAGCGACAAGGTGATAATTATGACAAGATAACACTGCAAAATTTCTATTGAATTAAAGAAGTAAAGGTGATGACTAACATAATACCGGGAATTGTTCACAGTGAAAATAATTACACCAGTAAAAACGACTAGCACCAATCACTTTCATCGGAAGAAACTTAAAAGAGATTACTTCCTTCACTTGTCTAGGAAACATCCTTTCAACTACAGACAGAACGGATGAAGATGTCAAAGCCAGAATCGGGAAGGTAAGGTTCATCTTAAACACTCTGAAATCTTCTGCCCTCAGCGCAAAGAACAAAATTTGGTCAGTCAAATCTTCTATATGGGTCATATACTTGGCTAGGGCGTAACTGAAAGAATTTCCAACAAGTTGCAGACTTTTATCAACAACTGTTTTCGCTCCGTAATATAGATCAAATGGCCAGAACTTAACGATCAACAAATATGTTGGAGAAAATGAAGATGGACTGTGTATATACTGAGGAGACCGTTGGTTGACGTCACGTGCCAGGCCATTGCTCAAGTGGAGCCTGAATGGGAAACGACGAGTGGGACATCTAAGCGGGACATGGAGGAGATCTTGAGATGAGGAAATTAAAGACTGTGGGCAAACGTGGAGCCAACTTAAGAGGACCGCAAAATACAGGGCGAAATCGAGACGTACTGTTGAAGCCCACTCTGAACCCAAAGGAACAATAGTAATAATAATAATAATAATTGTGATTTCAATAATATATTAAATTCATTTAATGGCTTCCATCCAGTGCTAAAACTGACACTTGAGGTGAAAACGAATTTAATGTACATCTTAATGATTTGAAACTGAAAAGAAAGATTGATGGAATCATCATGAGATAGATTTATAGAAAGCTGTCATGGAATGGTAAGCTACTGGTCGGAAAATAAACCTGATTCGATCACTTGCTACTGGCATTAAGAGCACATGTAGTGTTGATGTTGTACAGAAAAAATTAAATATTCTGAGCAAAATCCTGGCCGAAAATGGATATCTAGCAGGCTTTATTGACAAAAATATACACTGAGAACCAGTGAAATATGATTTGATGTGTTTCCAAGGAAGTGCTACATTTGAACATTGGACAAAAAGGTAGCCTAATTGTTGACATCTTTAAATGAAGGACCCCTAAAAAGGACATTCGCTGAGACATCATTTGGAGTAGTGATTTCCAGTCCACCATTTTTACTTGATAACTTGACGGACGAGATTTAAACTTTATATATCTACCAGTTCATTTACTTCTGTGGAGCTAGGTATATCAGTCATCTGCACAGGCTTTTCCAAAAGATTGCAAGAACACTATTCTGTTTTGCTATATAAAGGTGGAAGTGGAGCTAGTGTGCCCACTAGTAAGAAGGTCCATAAGTGGACAAAGAGTTATTCTCATTTTTTCCATTAAAAAAGAAGTGACACCTCTAACAAGTAGTCTATGTGAAGCAGTTTGTTTTGGCATAAGAATAAAATTTGAGCACTATGATATAGTATAATTGCATCATAGAGTAAATTTGTTTGCCAAAAACACATAGTGATACAGTATTATTTACTCATGGCATCTAGAGAATATTTTATAGCTTATAAACAAATTGTGCCCGAAACGTCATCAATGAATAATACGGTATCACTGTGTGATTTTGTCGAACAAATTTACCCTATGATGAAGCAGTTTTTGTCAAAAACGCCAGAAACCAATTATGCGCATAATAATACGAATTTGGCAATATGCCAACAACCCGATGATGGATTGAGACTAAAACAAATATTGGTCATGTTGATTATGCTACAAGCCTTCAAACGAAACTCAAAAGCTCTTGTTTTCCCATTTCTAACAAGTTATATCGCAGATCGACTTTCATGCAATATAATTATTGAGTAAATATCATCGCATACGAGTTAAATCACCTTTACTTAGACAAACAAGTTAGACAAGTCGACAAGAAATCGCTTAAATTTCACAAATATCAGCTGGGAAAATTCTCGTCAGCCTACTCAACAAACAAATACTTTTTTCACACAAATAATCTAAACAACTCAATAAGTCTTTTAATCACCGAACAAATCTTAAGTATATATACCGCAAGCTTAACAAACTGCATTCATACTCAGAATAGTATAATCAACCAAGTTAGGCAGTATACCTGAAATTTTTAATACAATTAAAGCATTGGCCGTCTCTCTCACTTACTTGAGCAGCAATGTCTCCACTACGGACCATACGGATGAGGATGTCAAAAGCAGCCAGGATCGGAACATCAAGATAGGTGTTCATTACTCTGAAACTGGAGTCCAGATCTACGACACTTCACACAAAGGAAAAGATACCAGTTTTCAAAACTAATATTAAGTCACTGCTTCTACATGATTCAATGACTTAGTGGGTGTGTTACCGAAGGCATTTCCAACAGGCTGCCGCAGACTTTCATCTACATCTGCTGTCACTCGATAGTGAATATTAGATGGCCACCGGGAAAAGATAAGCAACAAGGAAGTCTGAAAGGCGGAGAACATGCTAAGAACCTATTGCTCAGCAAATATGCTGAAGAAAATGCAGATGGATCAATTGGATACACTCTGAGGAGGCTTTCAAAAAAACATCACACCCGGATGGAAAGTAACGAACAGTACGTCGCAGGTTGAAATGGACAAGGAAATGGAAGCTTATGGTCATACGTGAGTGGAAGGGAACAGAAGGGAATAGAGATGTTCCTTTGGTCCATTCTGGACTCAAGGAACAGATAATATGATAATACAGCCTTGACTAAGGAGTCATCTAGATAAGAAGATTTATTGACTGAAGAAGCATTTTTTACATAAGGTTAATGATGGTATAATAAAGAAACGATATCGGTGACTATTATAAAAATGAAACATTGTTTTTGAAACTGACCGTGTATATGCTTCTTCGAGTAGATTCGGATGAGGTGTATAGAATTTAACAGCGAATCGGTAGACAAACTCTCCATTGGCAGAATACTGTCGTGAAACTGTTTTATTATGGTCTAACCAACACTATATGAGAATGTAAAGTAAATATAAAAGAAAAGTAAGAAAAAATGTATACTGCGAGATATTTCATAAATAAGTGATATATTCTATTCACTATCTGATAAGTACCATAATTTCTCTAAACACAATTCTACCATCTAAATGTTTCATTAGCGCTGATTGAATTGTAAACAGGAAATAAAAGGAACAAACAAAGCAACTTGATTAATGATTTAATAACTAGAAAGATAACAACATTTTATTGAGGGAATATATAAAACTACCTCTTCTATGTGAGGTTTTGCACATGAGTTTTTTCTTAGGCATACCGCTCTTACTTTTACTGAAAGTGTATTCACTTGGTTAGGTCAATAATTGGGTTACCAATTCATAATCCCACAAAGCCTGACTAAATATCAATAACTTCATACTGATTTAATTCTCACTAATGTCACATTTTAATAATAATGATGGGAAAAACTAAACAATGAACATTGTCAAGTAACTTTTTTCATTCCTTTGCTTTCCAAGTGAAACATACGGCTTCAAGCCCCAAGTTTTGAAGTTTCAGGAGCGGTGGTGTCTTCTTTACGGGTAGGGTTGTTAGCCTCACTGCCAACCTTCCTTATTTACCAGGCTTACTATCGGCTAAGTAAGGTTGAGGAGTGGTTCGGGTGGGAACGGAACCCAGATCACACAGGTATTTGGTATTTGGACACACCAACGCACTAACTAGTTAATATGCATTATTATAATCCTGGTTAGCACACCATGACATTATGGAAGTGTAGAATTACACTGTCACAATCCGTCTGTAAAAATACACTGCACAATTAAAGCACACTGACGTTATCTGATTTAAAAAATTACCGCAAACACAGAAATCTAAGCGTATACACAACTTCTATGTCCCGTGACATTTTGAAAAGACAGAACATACAGTTTAGAAATTATTTGACATTTTTAGAAAAAGACAATAAAAACGAATTATGTGATACACGTGAACAAACATATTGCAGAGGTATCACCACTAAACTAGTAACAAATGCTGCATACTTATAGAGTTCGAAAGTGTTTTTGCTATGCATATCTCCCAGTGATATTAATCGAATGTCTTTCTCTTGTTGGACACTGAATGATTAACTGACTAATTGAGTTTTCAGCGCAGAGCTGTGCATAAAAGTGCAACGATTCAAGCTGGCTTACTACATATAACAGCGAAAAATAAAAGCTGAAAAGAGCCATAATAAACGGAAGTTTACCGCAAAAAGAATAACTGCATGAAGAATAATAAGAGTTTGATGATTCTGGGGTCTTATGAAGAGTGAATGCTCCTGCTTCAGTGAGAAAAAGTTTCAGCCACGTCATCAACAGTCTCAAGTGCGCGGTTCATAGAATCTCGAGGACCCTACCCTTGCAACTTACATCTACCTATGCGGCTCAAACCAAAAGTTAAAGACATCACAGACTGATGAGCGGTTTTTATTCGATCACCTTTAACTCCTTTCCAACTTCATCTCATTTCAGTTAACACTCCTAGATGAGGAAGTCGATTGGCATGGACACTGAAGTTCCAAGCACAAAGAAAACTAAATTTTCAGTAAACAACTACAAACATAATTAAATGCCTGTCAGAATTAAAAGCGTATGCTGAATTCAGTGATATACAGGAAATAAAAATCAAAAACTATGTATAATGTAGGAAACAGAATATTTCCCACGAGGTACACTTAAACTTCGTATTACTTTCAGTAACACCTACTGACGAAAGTAAATATATGCTACAGTTCTCTTTGTGTGACCAACAACGTAGGGTCACATTGGTAAATTCACAATTCAATTTCTACTACTCAACAATTTTAAGTAGATTAAGCGTTTTATCGAAAAATAGTAAGAACTGAGGCAAGTATTTGTATCATTTTATATATTAGTGAGGAACTAACTAGAAAACAAATACTTCTCTGAAATATTTTGTCTTTCGTATGTTAAATGCAAATTTTCGCTATTTTACCACTACTGCTATGATGGCCTGATGAAGTCACTTTTTCCATTTGTCTCATTCTAAATGGAACAAAGGGCGTCAAGATATCACGTTTCAGTAACGATAGTGCTGTTGATTAAGCGGTGGAGCTGCTAACCATATGACCAGATTGATCTTTTTCCCTGACTTACAACATAGAAATACCAGGGCTGACTAAATTTCCATCTACCATAATGAACAAAGGAAGAATACATTGAGCACAAAATTTTCTCTCCTTTTTTATTGTTTTATTCATCTGAATATGTTCTTGGATCGCTACATGAACTCGTGCACTTTTCAGTCGGCTTCCAACATAATGCTGAAGGGAGAATGTCGTAGAGGAGTAGATCTTGCATCAGATGGAATAAAACTGGGTGATGGGGTATACTGTCGGTTACTATTTAACCTGAAGATCCTAGAAAAGGAGAAAATATCTTGCTTATTAATAAAATAAGAATTCTGTACTTTGTTAACATATTGTCTAGATAAAGTTATTACTATCAATATCTAATTTAATTATATATATACTGTCGCTGGATATTAAATCTCTTGATTTTAAAAATAAGGAGAAGACAAGATTTTTATTTACTTTTTCTAATAAAAATAACAGCTTTATTCCAGACAATACTGCTAACATAGTGCAGAAATTACAGCGTATTAAAAATTTTGAAGTATCTACTCTTCGTACAGGGTCTTCAAGTAAAATAGTATCTGCCAATGCATCGTGTGACAGCATTTTGTTCCATCTGAGTCATTATCCAATTCCCTATGATATTTTCCCTCATTTTCTTTTGGAGGCGCTCTTTATCATGTTGACAGCAAAAAAAATGTGCGCGAGTTAAAGTAGTGATCCAAAACCATCAATATATTTAAACAATAAAAAGTGGAGATGGGGTTATGCATTGTGCTGGCTGATAATTTAGGTAGCCCAGTGATTTAATCAAGGTGCCTGTGAACAAGCATTTAGTTAGTGTTACATTGTATTCGCATTAATTATTTCAGGCATCCATCTGTGTACACTGTGACAGATAACGTAAAAATAAGAACAGGTAAAATTATGTTGTATTTCAGGCTGTGTTTTTATCCCCACTGGATTTAAATGTGAAAACTAGAAATATTCATTGAAACAAATACAAAAAGCAGTTTCTTTTATCCCATCCAAAAAAGAAATGTCTATGGGGTAATAACAGCAGGCAGTGTGACAATGAAGGGAGTATTTTGGCACAGCAAATAAATGCAGCTCACATCTGTAAATCAACAAAATAAATGACAGTAATCTAAATGCTAAAATCGTTTAAAATCATCCCAATATGCTTAGAAAATCACAACAAGATTTTTTCAAGTGTTTCGCTGTGTAATCCAGAAGGTCATTCAGTGAACGACAACCAGACGGCTTCAGTGGTTCAGTAGTAGAATGCTCGCCAACCAACCAACCAACCAAGCCGTCTGGGGTTTGATGACTGGTCAGCGCATACCTCTACCTTCCTGTGCAGGTTGTAAGCCCAACTAAGGGGGCTAGGAACTCGTATAAAACACCAGTGCTACTAAAACTTTAGAGCTTAGGGCTTCAAACCGTATGTTCTACTCGGAAGGCAGAGGATAAAATAAAAATCAAATAGATCAAATAATAGTGTAAATTCAAAGGGCGACAAATAATAGTGATAATATTGGTGTGAAGTGCTCCTTTTTGTCATATCTGTTACTTTACATCCCTCGAACTTATATTCGGCGTATCCCATTTGTCTAATTATGTTTTGTAGCATTCACATTTCCGTAACACCATTGGATATAACTCAACTCCCTTAAACTTACACTTTTGCAAAAATAAAGGTAGTTCAAACTTTCTTACCTGTAAGATTACAACTGTACAAATAGGTCACTTAATTTTGTATTCACATTTTATGTTCTTAAAGACTGTAGATTTTGTATGCATACAAATGATAGTCTAAACTATCGGAGTATTATTCCATCTTATACTCTTACCCCAGTATGGTTTCTGATATATTTCTGGTTCGCCTTTACTAACTATTTGTATTCTTATATTGAAAGATTAATAGCTGTAGAGCTTGAAGAAGAAGAATTTATTAAAAATAACTGTTCACTCAAAATTTTCTTGTTCTAAGTAAATGTCACGTTTCTCGTTATTTCTACAAGTCCTGGTTTTGGTTATTGAAGATTTGAATCCCATCTGAACTTTCAGCCTCCAAAGCCTCAGGATGGTCGGGGGTGGGTGCCTTGCGCTGCGGGTTGGCCACCCCTCCGCACACCTCTTCAAATGCTCCCATATGACCGGGCGTCTTATATAGCCTCTCCTGAGGAAGTCCTACTCACTGCCTTCACGTGGCGGAGGTGTTTTTCACCAAAGTGAGAGGGCGAAAGCGGATGTCCGGCGCTCTTCACCGGGTTGACTGTCCATTGGATGACAGTCTAGGGGAGATGGCTAAACCCTGATTCCAAACCTCCAACGACTGGCGTATGAAGCTCACTGGAGCTCACCGGCAGACGTATGGACAAAGGGCTTGTTGGACCTCCTGCATGTCTGGCCCCATTCAAAAAGGCGTATGAACCGAACTCCGGTCACCGGCTGCCAATGGATAGTGGACTCCTTACTCCACTCCTACTGCCTTGTAGGTCACACTTGGTTGTGTAAAGGCTAGAGCTGCACTCTCAAACAAAAGGCCGAGCGATTCTTGGGACATCACTCGTACCGAATTCCCATGAAACTTCATGAACTCATGTTCATGAAGCCGGCTCATCCTCCCGTAGGAGATAGCCGAAGTAAAGTAAAGTAAGTAAGAACTTTTAGCTGTCTCGAAGAGGTACAGACTACAGCAATAATTTTTTCCTAACTTTCCTGAAAATTCCTCCAAGTATTTATCTGATTGTTCTTTGTTTATTGTAGATCCATTATATTTCCCCCCTCGAAATTTACGTGTACTTTCTTAAAGTGCAGGCAGTTTGAAGTGATGTACTATTGCATGAAGTCCTCCTACGCACTTCTTAA